TTCATGCCACTGCCATTCAGAAAATCTCTCTCTGTCTGTCTCTGCTTTTCAGTGTTCTTGAGTTGCTGAACAGTCCGTTTCTGAATCCCTGAAGTGGCCCTTTAGGTGATTGAGATCTTTCCTAATAATGAGCCATAGAGATCTTTCATTCAAACCTCAAGAGCTGTCTGGAAAACAGCAATAGACTCACTGCAACTGATCATTGTTTCGATGATAGATTAATCTGTAGTTTATTTCTTTATTTAGTCAAACTTGTCACATATTGATGTATAAAGGTTACAAGATAAACTGAATAAAGTTTATCTTGTAACCCCATAAATATGATATTCTTCAAGGGAGAGTTTACTTGTATATTAATATTTTTTGGTAATTTACTAAATAAGAAACTATTTCATTTTATATTAAAATTAAGCAATGTTTTTTGGGTAATATAATGGGTAATATAAGTAAATTAAATTACATTTTAAAAAAGGAAAAAACAAAAAATATTTACAAACTTACCCAATAAAGGCTTTCTTTTTTTCTTTTGTAATTTTTGTAGATTTTAGATTATTTGTCATTCATTAAATGCAAGTCTATGGCTTCTAGATCTTTGCAAGACAGGGATGTTCTTCACAAATGTGCCTATTTGTGCTTACACTTGAGGTGACTGAGATAGCTCAATTGAAGAAATTCACCATAACTGAATTGAAGAACAATAGATTGGGATCAAGCTATATGCAGAACATATATTGATAGAGGCGTTTTTGCGTTCATTTTATTGTAAATGTTTGCACTTCCTTTATTTTGTTGTATTATGAATATTTTCAATGTGTATTTTGATTTTGTATGTTCTAATATGTTATTTGTATTTTATTTTTGTTTATTTATTTTCTTCATTTAAATTGTCAGCTTTCTTAGTCACTGAATATCTTGGATGCTGTAACCAATATACACTATTAGTCAAAAGTTTGGGGTCCGTTTTTTTAATGTTTTTTTTAAAGAAAATTATTCTGTTCATCAAAGTTGCATTCATTAAAAGTAAAAAAAAAAAGTTAAATTGTTTAATATTTATTACAATTTTTAATAACTGCTAATTGTTACTTAGTTTTAAATGAAATCATTGCTTCAGTCATTTCTGCTTTTATTACTATAACATTTATTATTAATAATAATAATAAATAATAATAATAATATAATTAATAACAACAACAACAACAATAATAATAATAATAATACAATAATAATTAATATTAGAGTTATTTCTAAAGGATCATGTGACTGAAAACTGTAGTAATGAAGCAAAAACTCATCTTTAATATCACTGGAAAAAATTATTCTTTGTAAATTAAATGATAAACTACTTTTGAACAGTTCTTTTATAGTGCGAGAACATTTCACATTTTGTACTGTTTTTTTGATTAAATAAAAGCAGCTTTGATGAGCAGGATAAGCTTATTTAAAAAAAATTTAAAATCCTACTAACCTCAAACTTTTGACCAGTAGTGTATATATAAAAATAAAATAAATTTTGGATTTACAGTCCTAATCAGGCAAAATCCTTACTTTTACATGCATGACAAGAAGCTCTCACTCAAGTTTAAATAGGCACAACACTTCTCATCTCTTCTGATTTCTAATATGAAATATCTGCTTGTGTCTTCAATGTGTAACTCATTTTTGGGGGGTAATCTCCTCTAACTGAGCCACTTTGCTTGTACAAATGCGACCTGTTTTCTGCACCACTCAAGCTGTGTGTAACATCTGTTACGAAAGCACATACACTGAGTTGATGGGACTCTTAGGAAGTCCCTCTACAAACAAAGCCTTCTGTTATTAGTGTAAACCCTCAGTAGAGCCGCTGCAGTTTGCTCTGTTTGCACAGCAGAGAATTTCCCTAAAGCTTTCAGATGATGTCATTACAGAATACAGCCACTGGCATTACATCAGGTACTTTCTTTATGAGCATGATCTCATGTGTGATGGTGTACAGCACTGAGTTTGGCAGCAGAGTGGTGATTTCATGCCACTCTTCTGCTAGTCTGAGCCTCAGACAGCATTGCCATTTCTGTGCTCCAAACTCAACCCAGACCCATGGGAAATAAACTGATTGGGCTACATTTCTGCAAAAGTATGAAAGCATAACTTTACAGCAGGGGTCACTAATTTCGGTCCTAGAGGGCCGGTGTCCCTGCAGGGTTTAGCTCCAACCTGCCTTAACACAACTTTCTGGATGTTTCAAGTATACCTAGTAAGACCTTGATTAGCTTGTTCAGGTGTGTTTGATTAGAGTTGGAGCTAAAATCTGCAGCACATCGGCCCTCCAGGAACAAGTTTGGTGACCCATGCTTTACAGTATAAACATTTCACTGCAGCCTCCAGGTGAGATGAACACCAGATAATGAACCAGCATCAACTTCTGTTTCTTTCTACACAAATAATGGATTAAAACATTCTACAGTCTTTATAGCACATGATTTGTCAACATAATGCAGATTTTATTTTATTTATAGCTCATAAACGAGAAAAAATTAAAAGATGGTCGGGCCTGACTCAGCATAATTGTTGTTTTTCAGCAGGTTCCTGCTCAGCAGAACATAAAAACATACTGACACATCTTGCCATCTCATTCATCAACACATGAGAACAGTAAAAGCAATCCCCAAACATACAAAATAGAGGGAAGCAGGCTACTAACTCAGTGGCTACAGTGATAGTTGACCATCAGATGATGAGCATGGGATTTAAAATAGTCTTAATGTTAGTATTGTTTTTAGATGTTGTGGGATCTCTTTCCAGGCTTTTGTGAATGCATAAAAGAGAGATCTTTGTCCATAACAGTTTTTAATAGCCGGTAATGGCAAACATCCATTTGTTGCAGATCTGGTGGAACGATCTGTCCTTGTGTTAAGGTTTGGTACTAAAGCTGTAAGGACTGCTGAGGTAGCACTATTTAAAACTTGATAGTACAGTTTAACTCCTGTGTTCAAAATGTAATTTTGAAATGATAAAGCATTAGAGTGATCAAAACAGTGATGTGTCCATCTAGAAAGTCTATTGTGGATCCTATAGGTCCTATTGTGCAGTCTAGCTATTGGCTCAAAGATATCATTTGTTGTGAGAGACCAAACAGGCAAACAGTAGGACATGGTAGACAAGATTATGGCATGAAGATAAGTTTCAGAAACAGAAAAGGACAAATTTGTCTTAATTTTCCCCATAAACAAATAGCTTTTGTTTCAGCTTTTTATAAACATTTTCAATCATGTCCAGACTGCTCCCAAATATTGATATGTGGATACAATGGAAAGTTTTTGATTTGAGAAAATGATGGGATAGGATAAGGATAATTTTCGACTAGGTAAATAAAAGTACATACACTCTGTTTTCTAAACGTTAACTGTCAAATGATTGTCTTGCAGCCATTGATGTAAATGCTGAAAATCTGTATCAAATTTATTGTTAATTCTGTCTGTATTTGATGTAGACACAAAAAGTACAGTGTCATCGGTGTACAATAAAGAATCTGAGTATTTAGTTACCTGAGGGAGGTCATTGATGTACATCAGAAAAAGTAAAGGTCCCAAAATACTTCCCTGTGAAACCCCCATAGAACAACCTAATGCCTGCGATGTTATCATACCGATTTTAACAACCTTAGATCTACTGGATTAATATGATGAAAACATATCCATTGCAAAAGAAGAGAGATTAAAAGAGATCAATTTGTTTCAAAGAATAGTATGGTTAACTGTATCAAATGCTTTTGATTGACAACTCAATCCCTCAGATCACTTGGCTTTCACTTGAAACTTCTTAAAATATGTTTAAAACTGCATATAATGTTGCTTAAAACAAAAAGAATAAAAAAAATTGAAGCAGTTTCTTTCACTTTCTGTTTTTGGAAAGTGGCTGCAAGAAAAGCTGTTTGCTGCAGAGTATAATGACAAGTTTTTCAAACTCTCTCAGATCACTTTGTTTTTACTAAAACTTTTTTTTTTGTCATTATATTTGTGTGCATGTATGTATGACTTTTCTGACATGGTACTGTAAGCTTGCTTAGTAGCTTACCTGGTATTCAATTTATGATGTTGAGTGCTTTGATACACACATGCTATAAAACATTCCTTAACAAAAGAGCTCAAAATGTGTGTGTGTGTGTGTGTGTGTATATATATATATATATATATATATATATATATATATATATATTATATTATATGTAAATGTATAGCACAGCTTGTTATGCTTTTGATATTTAAAATTGGCATCTGTTACCATATTATTTAAGTGTAATATTATGTATTGTCTTTATCATTAGCACTATTTTGTAGCGTAGATAGTTTTACCATTTCCTTCATTTAGTCTTTCTGGCTCTTTTCTTGTGACAGCTTATAAATCGTGCACATTCATCAAAGCTTGCTTGCTTATGTGTTAAAAACAATCTATATTGTAAAGACAAGCTGGGAGAAATAGCCAAATGAGAGTGATATAGTCGGTATTGATAAATCCATGACACATCTCAAATCTGTATTTCTTTAAAGTTTAAATGCAGATTTATGCGGCAGAAGAAAAAAAGAAAACAGTTAAAATGTGTTCATTTTTTGAACTCGTTTTATCATCAAAGTATTTCAACCAGATAAACATTTACTACAATTTCTAATGATAAACGTAACGTGAAAACATATTATCCGAAAAATGCAGCGAGTAACAGTTTAGGCTTTAAGTCCAGTTTCTCTAATTTGATTGGCTGGCAGATAGATCTAAAGTAAACAAACACCATTTTAAATTTGTGCTGATTTATCTCAGTGCATTCAGTGCAAAACCAATGACGCTATATCAAACTGTATGACAAGGCTGAAAGAAGCAAAGAAAAAGAAAAAGATAAATCCATTAGACATTATGCAGATGGTGAAGCGTCTGTGAGGTGGTGCTTTTCCTCCGGTCTGTTTTCTCTGCAGATGTCAAAATGCAGGTTGAGCAACACTAATGAATCTCCTCTCTCTGTCTCTCTCTTGCAGGATCTCAAGAAGCCCTTCGATAAAGCCTGGAAAGACTACGAGACTAAAGTGTAAGACATTTCCAGCTGATTTCTGTCATGCACGTTTGCTTATATTGATATTAAGTCTAAAAATTAATTAAGTTGAAACATGACATGAGGGATCAGTGCCGCCCAGCACTCTGGATAACGAGCTGTCACTGTTGCCACCTCACTTCCTGTATTCCTCTCACACTGATTGTTCAGCATGCAACAATGTATGACATTTATGTAGCACTTTTTATATATTTTCCAAGCTGCAAGGGACATTCTTTACTGAAAGGGTAATCTATTTATCTTATAACACGTCATTTGGTTAATTGCTTTTACCTTTTAAAGACAGAAGCTCTTTACGGTTCTGTCTTTTTTCCTAATATCATTGCTGTTTTCCATCATTGGCTCAATCAAATACATGTTTCACCTCCACATCTCTGGAGACAATCTCCGCTGCCTGATTGTGACCAAAAACCTTCATGTTTCCAGACAGAAAGACACAAAAGGGTCCTCTAACGTCACACTGGCCCTGACTCCATTAAACTGGTTTTCATCGTCACCACCGCTACAGTTTGAGTTCACTTTTCAGATCTCTGTGTCTGTGCAAAGCTTTCAGCTTTCTCGCAAATTGCAGTTTTGCACAGCAGGCTTCATTTGTGCAGCTACCCTGCTAATGAGTGTGCTAAAGACCTTGCTGTGTTTGTGTAATAGAGAATCTGGCATTAAAAATAATGAGAGCAGGTGAACGGCAGGAAACATCCAATCACGATTCATATTTACTCCGGTTGTTTCCATATTGCTTTCTCCCAAAGATGAAAGCAGCACTCCACCATTTTTATACTGTTTTCATTATAACTAGTGTAATACTGGACGTGAACTTTTTCAGAAAAATGGTGGACTGTTGTTTATGATTACAGTTGAAGTCATGTGTTGGCATGAAGGAGTCTGTTTTGTTCTTTCTTTCTTTCATTTTTCTTTCTTTCTTTCTTTCTTTCTTTCTTTCTTTCTTTCTTTCTTTAACAAAATTTATTAGATTATTTTATTATTAACTAACACAGCAATTGCCATTATTATTATCATCATTATCATCATTATTATTAGTAATAGTAATAACAACAACAGTACTACTATTTATTATTATTATTATTATTATTATTATTATTATTATTATTACTATTATTACAAGGTTCTATGCAAAGGATTTTTCTACTGGCTCGATCGCACCAGTGGTTCAGATTATCCATATATTCAGATGCGCTTAAAGTTTCGCTGGCCCCACCAAAAAAAAAAAGTCAATAGCTATCTCTCAGCCACATATTTTAAATTATGTGTCAAAGGCCAAATATATATATATATATATATATATATATATATATATATATATAATGTATACACTTTATTCAGCATAATTTTTTAAAAACATACTTTAAATGATAGACAATGTTAAAAATTACAATTGTGACGTGAGTAAATTTCCCAAAGGTCCTAATAATAATAATAATAATAATAATAATAATAATAATAATAAAATAATAATAATAATAAATAATAATAATAATAATAATAATAACAATAATAATAATATGGATTATGATATAATAATAATAATAATAATAATAATAATAATAAAGTAATAGTGTCATTTTTATTAGCATTATTACTAGCATTATCATTGTTATTATTATTATGATTATTATTATTATTATTATTAATAATAATAATAATAATAATAATAATAATAATAATAATAATAATAATAATAATAATAAAAACAACAATAACAACAACTACAATATTTTTATTATTATTATGTAATTATATTATTAAAATATTATTTAATAATATAATAATTTATTATTATAGTATAATAATAATCATAATATTATTATTATTATTATTATTATTGTATTTAACTAATACGAAAAAACATAAATAATTCTTCTTACTTCAATAGAATGAATGTTAACTGAAAGAAATATAAATATAGAAATATAAATTTTATACAAATAAAAATTATTATGAAATTAATTTTATTTAAGATATTTCACACAGTCAATATATTTTTTATAGTCTGCCTTAAAGCTAAAACAACTTCATAAATAAAAATCTAATAAAAATATAAGTCAAGAAATATATCACCAAAAATTTTTAATTGTCTCATATTTACTCATTAAAAATATATTTAAATGAGTAGTTTAGCTCTTTTTGCCAACACATCAGTTCATTCAGCGCTTGCTGCATTTTGTCATATTCCTTGTTTGCCTTTACACTTTCTAGTTCACCAACTAGAAATGCTGCTATTTAGGAAATGGCTTCTAGAGTCCAGCCATCTCCTGATTACATCCCGTCGCTAGGCTTCCAGAAAAGCTTCATATTGGGCCACTGGAGCTGAGAGCGAAACACAGGCCTAAAGCAAGTGCATGAGGCTCTCTCTGGAATCCTGTGTCTGAGAGCAGGGCCTTCCAACCCACAGAGGAAATGCTGCATCCGTAGTGTGGAGTACAATATGCCGCTGGAGCATATGGAAAAGAATGCCCTGCTGCATGAGCGTTTCCTGTGCGTGCGTTTGCGTTTGTGTGTCTCAAATTTTAAGGTGGTCCCGTGTGTGTTTCACACAGCTCTAAAATAGAGAAGGAGAAAAAAGAGCACGCCCGGCAGCACGGAATGATCCGGACGGAGATCAGCGGAGCAGAGATAGCAGAAGAGATGGAAAAAGAGCGGCGTTTCTTCCAGCTTCAGATGTGTGAGGTCAGAGGAGGCACAGTTCATTGGAGAGTTCTGTTTGGGGACCACTTCCTGTGCAGTGTGTGTGTGATTCAAGCATCTCCATTGTTTTGTTACAGTACCTCCTCAAAGTCAATGAAATCAAGATCAAAAAAGGTGTCGACCTGCTCCAGAATCTCATCAAATACTTCCACGCACAGTGCAAGTAAGTCTGGTTATGTGCCTAAATAATGGCCATCATTGTTTTAAATAATTTTTATCATTAGAATTTTTTTAATTAAGCAGACATTCACTTCTAAATACGATTTTTAAAAATTAAATACAAACTTAAAACTTACATTTTAACAATTAGACATTCAAAAAAGTAAGAAAAAAACAACCAACAGTCGTAAAAATAATAATTAAACAAAAGTTAAACGCATTCCCCCAACCAACCACCCACCCACCCACCAGTGCTATCCAATGGTAAAAGTAGGTACTAAAGGCAAAGTAAACATTTTAATCACAAATTTGTAGAAAGGAAACAAAAGGACACCAGTTTTTTTTTTCAAATAACAAAATCTTGTCTATTAGATTATATTTGATTTTTTTTCCAGATGTAATGTATTCGTTATGTCTGTCAGCCATAGTTTAAGAGTTGGAACTTCTTTTTTTCCACAACAAAAGGATACGATCAACCCATTGTAAACAAACTTTTGTTGTACCCGCAGTGTACTCAAAAATTCTTTGGAAACTCCAAATATAATTATTAATTATCTGGTCTAATGTATCTGAAAAGAACTTATTAAAAAAACTTATAAAAACAAATAATATTTTGTCCCTGAAACTCTGTAATGTGGGACACATAACATACAGTAGGAATGAAACAGGGTAATGGATAAACAAATTTTTGCCCATAAGAAGCGAATGTCTGATTTTAATTTTTATTATTATTATTTCCCAAATATTCTGATTATACTGAAGACAGTATTTTAAAAGCCAGCAAAGGTGATGGTCAATGAGCTCTATGCAGAGCTAAAGTTTTAAAACCAACGATAAACTTCCAGTGAAAGCTTAACATGACTATTGTCAATTACATAAGGTTGTTTTACAGAATCGATGTTGTAATGTAATTATAATACATTCAGTTAAATACACTTAAGCATTCATTTAGTTGTTCAAGCGTAAAAGAAAATGAAAGACCATTGTAACCACTAGCGCCAACAGTAGCAACAGGCTAGGGCAGAAATCCCATTGAAAATACTTGAGTAAAATAAACTGCCATATTTTAAAGACATGATGAGGGGAAACTGAGTTTAATGCAGTGCTTGTCTGATATGAGATCCACTTCATATCCTATATCTAACAGGCAGTGAAGATCGCTGATTTTTGAAGAAATCAGATCTTAAATGTGACAATTTTATAAAGGAAAGACACTTCGCTGGAAGCCCTTGGGCTGTCTGGCTAAAAATTAAAAGTCAGTGTGCATACAGCCCTTCTACAAAAAAAGAAAAAAAAAAAACTGACAAGTTAGTAAATGGCACTTGTAAATGTATGCTTATTTGTAATTTGTTAAATATAAGGTTAGCAGATATCGATGCATTTTACGCATCGATGAATTTGCTCTTCAGTGTTTGAACTCTCAGTAATGATTAAATCACACTGAACTGAGCTAAACTGAACTGAACTGAACTTAAACACTAAAAAACTGAACTACTCTGTTCCAGTTACTATGACCATTTATGTGAAGCTGCTTTGACACAATCTACATTGTAAAAGCGCTATACAAATAAAGCTGAATTGAATTGAAAAAATATGTATATTTTGGCCGATTCTAACTGGACATTATAAAATAACATTGCATATTCCTCACCATATAAATGAAGTAATTAATCCTTGTTAAAGCTATAAAAGTTGTTGTGTAAAGTGGTTCTCTTTATCTTTTTTTGTAAGCTGGTAAATTAGAATTTGGTCACTCTCAGGCAAAATGCATGGTTCCAATATAATGACACACATTTCAATTGTACAGAGCATTTGCGGGGTCTTAAATTTCAAGAACTAAATTGTAGGCCTTAAAAAATTCCTAAAATCACTAAAATATTTTATTGTAGGTCTTAAACCATTTTTAAACAGGTATTTATTTATTAACTCTATTTTCCAATATGGCTTGATTATCTTCCTTACTGTAACATTTGTTTTCAATGTTTTTTAAATGTTTTAGCTGGGCCGTTAGAAAAAAATCTTTAGCGTTTAAACTTGTGGAAGTCTGAAATAGTAGAAGACCTGCTGTATCTTGGCTGCTTACTCAAAGGTACTTGATTAGGCATCATTTTGAACATGTTTATCACTTCTTGAATTTTGTGCTTGAATTGTGTAACATTGCCTGAATGTTCATATTGCCTTAAAACATGTGCAAATGATAAAGTATGAAATGATGCAGCTGTGCCCCATGAAAATACTGATGAATACACTGATCAGTCAGGAAGTCCTTATTTAGTCCTAGAGAGTGATTTGTATTGTATTTAATCCCCCTGGAGCTGTTTACACCACTTATTAAGATGTGTTTTAATCAAACACTAGTAAACTGGTATATTTACACCTGAAATATACTTAAACTTACTAATAAATAATAATGAAATAAAAAAAGTGAATCCATTTATTTTGACCTTTTTGTAAAATAACTGACATGATGTCCTCTGTCGTAGCTTCTTTCAGGATGGTCTCAAAGCGGTGGACAACCTCAAACCCTCAATAGAAAAACTGGCCACAGACTTGCACTCGGTGAGAGACTTTTCATGGCTGAAGCTCACGCCACTGAAGCTCATTTCTCATTTCTGCCTCCTGTTTCCATTGGTGCTTTTGTTCAGATCAAACAGGTACAGGATGAAGAACGCAGACAGCTAACCCAGTTACGGGATGTGCTAAAAACTGCTCTGCAAGTGGAGCAGAAGGAGGTTAGTCTTTTATTGAAATAAATCTCTACACATTTCATAAACCACAGCACTTTTCACAGGGTGTCCATGGCTTTGGTATATATCTTATCTAGATTAAAATGGTTTAAGATATTTGCTACTCTCAATAAACCTCTTTTCTGTTCATCAATCTCCACGGCATCATTTTCCTGACAGTTTTCTCACACTCTTAAGCTTTAGTCGTCCTTCAGATTATTTTATTTTATTTATTTATTTTATTTTGTTTTACTTATTTTATTTTATTTATTTTATTTTATTCTATTTTTTATTTTATTTTGTTTTATTTATTTTGTTTATTTTTTTATTTTAGACATATTTAATTATTTAATTTAATTTTATTAAAATGTATTTTATTCTAATTTTTATTTTAGATTTTATAAATTTTTTATTTGTTTACTTTGTTTTTTTATTTTAGATTTTATTTAATTTTATTTATTTGTAATTTCATTTATAATATTACTTTCTGTTAAGTTGCACAGACAAACTGGTTTAATTTTTAATGTGTTTTCATATTATTGTTTATTTTTTATCTTTATCTTTATACAAAATCTGATCACAATGTTTTTACACAATATTTGGTCTTCATTCATTTCAATTTACTAACTTACTAAGTTTAATACTGGGCGTGCACAATATATTTTCATTTATTTATTTATTTCCAACATTTAAATAGTTTTTCCTTAAATTACATTAAGCCCTCACCCTAATTTCAATCCATACACTTTAGATTGGACCTTGATTTTTGACATTTCATGCATTCCTACAGTACATATTAATATTGTTGTTTTGTTTAGTGAACAAACTGTATGTGTAACCTGTCTGAAGAATGCTCTCTTCTCTTCTTTAATGCTACCATACTTTTGGCAACGAAGTCTAGGAGAGTAAGTGTCTACTTGATATACACGATCACACTTCCCTCATACTCCTTTTCCTGGAATTGTTTACAAAAAAAAGCACACAATACACATTAATTGATTAAATCTCAGTCTCTAAATGCAGTTCATATTGCCACTGATCTGTTTTATCCAACACTGATTGATGATCCTACTATGTTTAGTTCAAGCCTCACACAGAAAAAGAAAATACACACAAAAAAAAACCTTGGCTTTCACTCAACTCAAAACATTAGGACAAAAATGGCAGCATTCTTATTACTGGCTCAGAGCCTTGTGTTCCTAAGCAGTGGGTTTCCAAATGAGCTCAGCTCCTCCGGGATGCTTGAAGCCCCACTGCTCCCATTTCCTCACCGGAGTGACAACACGGCCATACAAAAACAGTGATTTTCACTTCCTCTGACTGCTGACGTGCTGCTGTGTGTTCATTAACATGTCCGTTTTCTCCTCACAGGACTCTCAGGTTAGACAGAGCGCCACCTACAGTCTGCACCAGCCGCAGGGCAACAAAGAGCATGGGACTGAGCGCAGCGGCAACCTTTACAAGAAGAGTGACGGGTAATCATATTTTACGCATTCAAATTTAAATGGCTTGCTGTGAGTTAATGCTAAGGAGAAGTTCCTTTCTGCATAATTTAGGGTGGCGCAGGGGTATTTAACACAGACTTTTACTGTTTCCTGCGTCCTTCCTACAGGCTGCGGAAAGTGTGGCAGAAGAGAAAGTGCACAGTAAAGAATGGATATTTGACCATCTCACATGGGACGGTATGTATGTTATCTGACCCATCTCACATGTAGCTCTTCATATCTTATGTCTTTGTATCCTCATTTATTTGATTGTACATACTAGCATGTCGAAAGTTGAAACAAGCAGAGGAGTACTGGATGAAATCTATTTTTCTATCTATCTATCTGTCTATCTATCTATCTATCTATCTATCTATCTATCTATCTATCTATCTATCTATCTATCTATCTATCTATCTATCTATCTATCTATCTATCTATCTATCTATCTATCTATCTATCTATCTACCTACTTACCTACTTACCTCCCTCCATCCATCCATCCATCCATCCATCCATCCATCCCTCTATCCATCCGTCCATCCAGTTTTTTTGAAGCATATTTATGGAGGTTGCTAATGTTCTGGATTTAGTTTGTCTGGGTTTGTGTATGTTTCTTCATGTCATTCCAGACAGACTGGATGATGATCAGATCTTTTTGTAGAGCTGGCTGTTGTCAGACTCCTTGTTAATTATAATTAATATCAAGAACAATTTTTGGAAATGTAAATTGATGATTTAGACTGACATACTACAGAAAAATAAAGAAACAACCAACTTTATTATTTTTTTAGATTAAAAAAATACTAGTGGCCTAAGACTTTTTCATTTTATTTATACAAATATTGTATACATGAGGGCAAAACACTGGCGCAGTGGGTAGCATGTTCGGCTCACAGCAAGAAGGTCGCTGTGTCGCTGGTTCGATCTTCGGCTCAGTTGGCATTTCTGTGTGGAGTTTGCATGTTCTCCCTGCGTTTGCGTGGGTTTCCTCTGGGTGCTTCGGTTTCCCCCACAGTCCAAAGACATGCAGTACAGGTGAATTGGGTAGGCTAAATTGTCCGTAGTGTATGAGTGTTTGTGTATGTGTGAATGTTTCCCAGAGATGGGTTGCAGCTGGTAGGGCATCCACTGCGTAAAAACTTGCTGGATAAGTTGGCGGTTCATTCCGCTGTGGTGACCCCAGATTAATAAGGGGACTAAGCCGACAAGAAAATGAATGTATACATGAGTAGAACTATTGTATATTGTATTAACTGTTAAAAATAATGACAATTTTCTTAAAATTAAATGAAATATATCATACACACGTTAACAACATTTTAATTTATACATACTCCATTTGATATTACAGGAAATATTTATGTTTTTACATATTACAGTGTCACACCAGAGGAGCATTAATGTGAGCTTGGGAGTGCTAAAATTGTGATTTAAAACTAGTAAATAGATAAATATATAAATAAAATAAATCAAAAGGAAACAGTCACAGCACCTACAGTATGCGCTTGTCTTAGTAAAATGATGACAGTTTTCCTCATTAGTGCAGTGCTAATTCAATAGGCTTTCAACCTGAGCATCTCAGTGAACATCATTAGGCATTTCTAGTGTCTTCTCTTGAGTCTTTTTCCTTTGGCCTCAGTGCTGTTCAGGTCTGAGCACTTTAACAAAAGAACTGGCAAGAGGATTACATGAAGCGTAGAATAAAAGAGCAGTTAAACTATTTATTTTGTACGCTTATTAGTCTGTGGCTTGATTGTAAAGATCACACACACACTAAAGTCTTAGTTATAGGAGATTTTTGTATGATACTTTTCCAACCAGGCACAACTTTATGCCATGGCACATCATTTTAATTGGTTCAATAGCTAAAACCTAGAAAATACACTGTACATGCACTCAATGTTTCGTTTCATTTTGCCTGTTTCAACATTCTTTTTCATGGCAAATTGCATCATATATATATATATACACACAGTATATACATACAGTTGAAGTCATAATTATTAGCCCCCCTGTTTATCTTTTTCGCCCAATTTCTGTTTAACAGAGACAAGATTTGTTCAACACATTTCTTAACATAATGGTTTTAATAACTGATTTCTAATAACTGATTTATTTTATCTTTGCTATGACGACAGTAAATAATATTTGACGAGATATTTTTCAAGACACTTCTATACAGCTTAAAGTGACATTTAAAGGCTTAACTAGGTTAATTAGGTTTACTACACAGGTTAGGTAATTAGGCAAGTTATTGTATAACAATGGTTTGTTCTGTGGACTAGCGAAAAATAAATATAGCTTAAAGGGGCTAATAATTTTGACCTTAAAATGGCTTTTAAAAAATTAAAAACTGCTTTTATTTTAGCCAAAATAAAACCAATAAGACTTTCTCCAGAAAAAAAAAATATTATCAGACATTTTGTGAAAATTACCTTGATCTTTCCTTGATCTGTTAAACATCATTTGGGAAATAGTTTAAAAAGAAAAAAATGCAAAAGAGGGCTAATAATACTGACTTCAACTATATATATATATATATATATATATAAATCAATGATAAATAATCATTAGTGGTGTAACATATATCACAAATCTATGGTTTCTGAGTCAAGGATTGGACCATTTTTTGGATCAGCAAAAAGGGAGGAGTCAAATGTCATTTGCTTTCCATTTAAACAAAAATATTACTGCAATACCCTTGGTTTAAACAAACAGAGCTTATAACCTGTAATGTTAATAAAAATAAAAATCAAGGAAGAACCAGCTAAAAAAAGGAAAATATTCAATATAAAAATGATCTTTGCTACTGTTGCTGATAATGCTAAATATAAAAATCTAACAACTTATACAACTGATATTTATTTTCAATAATGATTCAACAATTCACACAAAACTTCTTGTTTCATTATAGGTCGATCATTTTTGAAAACCTATTCAGTGGCATAATTTAGATGGTTCTTTGTCGCCACCTGTTGGTTACACAATGTAATTTCTACAACACAGTGTCAAGTTCTATTAAACAGCTATTTTAATCTTTACCATAAGCATCAGTGTTTATATCTGAACTGTAAACTGTTATCTCAGTACTTCTGTGTTATTTAATTGTTTGTAACTAACTGAAAAAGTGTAAAAACTGAATCTTTCTTCATCAAATGCAGATTTGAATGCAGCGCTTCGAGGGATTGATAAACAAATGCAAATCATTATCATTTATTATTCATGTTTTCATCAGTGTTCAATTGTGCAGCTTTACACTGAATGCATTAATGCAGGATAAACAAACCGCGACAGGAAACACCTTTAATTAATAATCTAAGAAAGCATTTAGGTCCCACCACAACTTTTTCCATCATCATTGTATTTTACAGGGAAGCCAAAATGCTTTCATATTCGTGATTTGAATGACGCGGCAGGCAATCTCTCTGCAATTGTTTTAAATGTCAGATTAACTTACAAGTTTAAAAGAGTTATTAATCCATGTGTCACGTGCGTTTCAAACTGTGGGTTATCAACCGTGATCCATTACATCCCTAATAAATATTAATACAAATGCTAATTTAAATTTTTGTAGTACACACATCTATGAGTGTGCATTTATATATGGATAATAAATATACACAATACATGCACATATATTATGTAAATACAACTTTAATTTGATTATTCACAATTAATCGTTAAACAGCAATAGTTGGGATGAATGTTGTTAGTGACTGATAAGGTTTTTCTCTTTCTTCTTTTTTTTTTCTTTTTTCTGTCACAGGCAAACAGACCTCCCGCCAAACTCAATCTTCTCACCTGTCAGGTGAAGCACAACCCAGAGGAGAAGAAAAGTTTTGACCTCATCTCACGTATGTTTGCACCCGTCACTGTTGCTTCACACCCACACACATTTATAAACCTGAAACAGGAGCTCTGTTAAACTCAACTAAACCCTGGCTGCGAAACAAATCATCCCATTTCACATTTGATCACTTGGTAAAGTAAACAGTGTAGCTAAACATGACAAGGACAATTAACTTAAATGTATTGAACATATTTTAGTGATTATATTATATTATATTATATTATATTATATTATATTATATTATTATATTATTTCATATTTTATTATATTATATTATATTATAATATATTAAATTATATATTATATTATATTATATTATATTATATTATATTATATTATATTATATTATTTCATATTATATTATATTATATTATATTAAATTATGTTATATTATATTATATTATATGTTTTATTATATTGTTTTATTTTATATTATATAATTATTATATTATATTATATTATATTATATTATATTATATTATATTATATTATATTATATTATATTATATTATATTATATTAAATTATGTTATATTATATTATATTATATGTTTTATTATATTGTTTTATTTTATATTATATAATTATTATATTATATTATATTATATTATATTATATTATATTATATTATATTATATTATATTATATTATATTATATTATATTATATTATATAAGGAATAAAATAAAGTTCCCAGGCCAGCTCTATGTTGTAGCTTTTCCATGTAGCAGTGTTGTTGTTATCTATAAGGAAGTTCTGACCGAGGAAATACTGGCTGAGTGATTTTCTCCCATGTTCCTCTGCTTCCTTTAACATCTCATCTAACCACAGGAACCTTTCAGCCGAGAGAAAAACAAGTTCAGTTTTCTCTGTCCGTCCATGAGTGGGAATATTTGAGCTTATCTCGCCTGTCTCCTCCTTTTATGCTTTTCCCGTCCTTTATTCCTCATTCCAGATGGATTGTCAGAGTGTCACTTTTTCAGGGAAACACAGATGTTCCTCTTTTAAACAACACAGCTGCTGTTTTCAGACATAATAATGTGTATTTACAACAGCATAGCCTCTAAAATTGCATGACTGCCATTTAGGACACAGTGGTGTTGTTTTAGCATGAGTCAAATGATCTGTACTAATATTTAAAAAAAAATATATATGTATATTTTATACATTATAAAAATATTTATTTTTTTATAATTTATTTTTTTATTTATAAACATTATTTTTTCCACAATTCTAACTTTTTCTTAAAAAAAATAGTTATTGCCATTGCACTCAAATAAATTAAAGTAAATCTAAGGTACTAAAATGAATAAAACAGAACTGAGCTATTATATAAGTATATATATTTTTAATAAAATGTTTGAATCAAATTAGTCTGCTTTTTAAAGCTCAAACACTTGACCGTTGAGTGCATAGTGCATATTTTATAGTGCGATATTTGGCACACGGTTTTGTCTCTTATTTATTAATGTCATGTTTCTGTTAAGTCCATGTGAACCGGAAGTTATTTCAGGATGTTGATGTGCCTGAAACTGAAATGGAATATTGAGTAGGGGGTGGTGCTTTCTTCTGTGCATCATTAGCTACGTTTCCATCCACCTATTTTTACGTGCATTTTAGATATGCGCATAAAACACTGGTTGACGTAAATGGCAAGATGCGCATGAAAAAACATATGCACATAACTGAGTTGGAAAAACTTTTTATTCGATAAGAAAAGATGCGCATAAACTACGATAGAAACACTTTCACCGAACAAATTCTAGTATGTGCATTAAAATGAATCATGTGATGATCATGTCATAAAAATGTGTGTGAATGGATAAACCAGCAGGCTGAGCAAATTGTAAAATCTTTGTAATGTTGTTTTGGTTATTCTAAAACACCTTCACCGTTTCAGTATTAGTGTTATTAATAGTAATAACAATAACAATATTAACAATAATACTGAGATGGTTACGGTATTTTAGAATGGCCAAAACAACATTTCAGATGTATTACAGTGTGCTCAGCCTGCTGGTTTATCCATTCACACACATTTTTATCATCACATGATGTCTTGTTTATCCTACTCAGTTATGCGCATATGTTTTTTTATGCGCATTTTTTAAATTGATGCGCATCTTGGCGTTTCCATCAGTCATTTTTTTTATGCGCATATCCAAAATGCGCTTAAAAATAGTTAGACGGAAACGTAGCAAGTGTTTCATAGCAAACTAACGGTAAGAGGGTCGTGGTTAAGAAAATTAATATGCAGTTGCTATAGAAGTCTTCTGGCTGACGTCATCAAACTGTCAAATGTTTGCTTTTTTTTTTCTCCAAAAATCTATTTGTCTTGTCGTGTAACAGTCTTTCTTACATCTTATGATTCATAGATGACAGAACATATCATTTCCAGGCAGAAGATGAGCCAGAGTGTCAAATGTAAGTGTTTTTATGTTCTGCTTTCAAAGGAAAACTATCATGGGACATTACTCATTCTTCTAGAAAACTACTACCTGAAAATAACAACAAATTACTGCTGTTTTTACAGCAACAACATGTTTTTGGCAACAATTAAGACAAAGATAACCCTCTGGATAGTAATTATATTAGACTTTTGGTATAACTTTTCCATTTTTTTTTAAATCACTGATATGAATCACCATTCGGCTGTGTACATTGTAACAATTATGGCCATAAAAAATGGCTGTAGCTTGTGATTCATGTTTTTATTTTCAATTTAATTATGTTTTCAATATGCCTTGTTAAACCCCTCTGACAATTTTTGAGTTCACTTTAGTTTAAGTACTAATTCTCACTATTAACTAGTGGCTTATTACCTGCCTTTTCTTAAGATATTGGCTTTTTGTAAGTGCTTGCAGTTCTCAGCATATATAAGAATACCCCTCACAAATCTCTTATTTAAATATTCTACTGGATCATTTACAATATTATATTTGTGCATATAAATTAGATTAGTAGTAGTAAAGCCAAATTTGAAGCTTATCTAACAATATAACTTACAATAAAGGTAAATAAATTAGTAGGCCAAATTTATACATTAAAGGGCACCTATGGTAAAAAAAATCTACTTTTCAAGCTGTTTGGACAGATCTGTGTGTTGGTATAGTGTATAGACCGTCATACTGGGGTGATATGAACACACCCAGTCCTTTTTTTTCAATTTAGCTACAAAAAAAAAGTGTCGGCCAATTGGAGCTGTTTTCAAATCAATCGCAGCATTACGTAGGTGTGCGATCCCCCCGCCCACCGAATTGATTGACAGCTGCGCACATTAACATGTTCCGGTAGTCATGTGTATATGTCAACAAGACCAGGCAGACATACGCAAAGCAACCGAAAATAAAAGGTCTGTTCTGTTCGCTAGGATCAGCAATCATCATCAAATGTGATTAAGAGTAAGTTTCACATGTTTAAAGTGTTTTAAAACAGAATATGTGTGTAATTAATTACAGCGTTTTACTTCAGCTTTACTTCATCAGCACAGCCGCGTGTCAGAACAATTATAAAAGAAGACGCTTCAATCCCGGTTTGTGGAAGTTAAATCAGGTTTATTTTGTACATTAGCATGACAGATATCCACACAGTATTTGAGGTTAGCCTTAACTAAGCTAAGCGCGCTCTGTCTGTCTGCCTGCCTGCCTGCCTGCCTGCGTGCGTGCGTGTGTGTGTGTCATCTGCGATGTGTGTGTGTGTGCGCGCGCGTTAACTTTGTAACGATATTGTGTGTGACTCATAAATGCAACTTCACAATACTGATTAGTAAAGGTTAGTTCTTACTGTAGTATCTCACAAACGCTACGTGAGACCTTCTTCCTTTGTCTGTCTGTTGTCTGACGCAGCTGAGGGAGGAGGCATGTAGAAATAGTGGGCGGGAAAGAATCGTCTTAAAGGCGCAGTACGACAAAACCACCCCCTGCTGGAAATCAGTATAAAACAGCATCTTGTAAAAGGTATAATGAAAAATCTGATGGGTATTTTGATCTGAAACTTTATATACACATTCTAGAGACGCAAAAGACTTTTATTAAATCTGAAAAAAGGGGTAACCTAGGTGCCCTTTAAGGAAAAATATTAAATACAAATATTTTAAAAAGAGCCAAAATCAAGAGAAACAAAAAATATTTAAAATCTTGTTGAAAGTTTGTATTTTTGTTTGTCAATATTTTGCATGATTTTTTAAAAATTGTATAGTCTTTCTATTTTTAAATATGTTTGGTGACTAAAATATTTTTTTAATAAATGTATCTATTTCATAAATTTGTTTTGTTCATATACCCCAAAATATTTGACATATTTAAAAGAAAAGGAATAGAAAAGGACATATTTAAAAGAAATGGATAAAGTATTATTCTGCATGATCTTAGTCTACATTCCTAGTCCTACCTAACACGCAAACCTAAACCTTAATAACCATTAGAAAGCAACATAGTTAATGGATTATAAATAGCGACAATTGTACCTTTTAAATAAAGTATGACCTAATTTACAGTACAGAAACCAAATAATGAGCTGCCAGTTTAAATATTAAATGTTTTTTAATTGATTAAATGAGCTTTTTTTGTTATTCTACCACAAATTCATTTCATAACTCTTTTGTTAACCTAAAATTAAGTAAAAAATTGTATTGTGTTGAGTAAAAATGAATATAAACATGTTGAATTTGAAACTTATAATTACGTAATTATGAATAATCGATTCTATCTGATTGTTGTGATCTACTTTTTGCGTGTTATTTGTAATTTGGTTAAGTATTTTTGTTTTTCTTTTCTATCCTTGATTTCTTGAAATTTTTGATTTTCTTCTGGCTATCAAATAAAAACACTGAAATATTGATGTCTGTTCATTGTGTGTGCTGTCAGATGGATCTCAGTGCTGCAGAACAGTAAAGAAGAGGCGCTCAACAACGCCTTCAAGGGCGACCAGCATGTTGGTGAAAATAACATTGTGCAGGAGCTCACCAAGGCCATCCTGGGAGAGGTGAAGCGGATGGCGGGGAACGATGTCTGCTGCGACTGCGGTGCTCCCGGTGAGTGACCCGGACATTCACAGGAAACAGGAAGTGGAGAGAAAATTAGGTTCAGATTCGGCTCACAGGAAGGGTCATATTAAAATAATGCGATACAGTTCTGCTAACAATAATTAATATTTTGAATTAGTTAATAATAGTAATAATAATAATACTAAATTATTATTATTATTATTATTGTTGTTATTATTATTAATTATATATAAATATATATATTTGTACAATTATTAATAGATAATTAATTTAGTACTTTATTATTAATAATAGTAATAATAACAATATAAATTATTATTATTATTAAATAATTATGTTTATTATTATAAAATTATTTAAAAATAATTTAGCACTGTATTAATAATAACAACAAAAACAACAACAACAATAATAATAATTATAAACATTAAAGCAAATGCTGCTGATAACAATTTAATATTCCATTTACCACTTGAAATATTTAACAGAACTAATAATAATACTACTAATAATCATATATTACTTTAATAAATATATTATAAAACAATAATGGTGACAATTGTTATTATTATTATTATTATATTAGAAATAAAAAAACATAATTGCAAACAAAATTATTATAATAATGTTATTGTTATTATTATGTTTATTAGTATTTTTTATTATCATGATATAATAAAGGTGTTTACTATTATTATTTTTGATATTTCATTTATAATTATTATTATTATTATTATTACATAATTGCATTAATACTAAATATTATAATATAATTGTTTATAATTGTTGCATTTAGTTATTTTATTTCACTACCATTTTATTGTTGTTACTTCTTAAGCCAGTTCTCTTGGATCAAGAAATGTTATAAGCTAGATGTAGGTTTTTGGAGCACATGTGTTAACTGCTTGAAATTTGCATAACTGATCACAAACTCCATTTGCCATTCATGTAAATGAGGACAAGCCCTTTCATCTTTTAAGCTTCATTTGCATGTTACACATTCATGATTGACGGCCTCTTTGAAAAGTTTTAAAGCATGTTTTTGTTTCCTCATTCCCAGGCCCCACATGGCTCTCCACCAACCTGGGCATCCTGACCTGCATCGAGTGTTCGGGGATCCACAGAGAGCTGGGCGTCCATTACTCCCGAATCCAGTCCCTCACACTCGACGTCCTCAGCACCTCCGAGCTCTTGGTTTGTGTTTGAGCTTCAGCCCAATCTTGAGTTTATTTATCTGCATCAGCATGCTTGAAATTTTTATAGGGTTCGCTTAAATCACTCAGGCTCTTTGGGAGTCATTCCACATGCACGATTTCAGCCCAAAGCGTATTTAGGCCAGCAATTGAGGATCATTAAAGCAATTACAGAAGAACTGTTCGCCACAGCGAGAAAGGCTTGCGTCTCTGATTGAGTGCCAAGATACATTGTTAGGCTGATTGAGATATTATGAAGTAGCAAAACAAATCAAATAGAGCCTGAATAAATGAGTTAACGCAAGACGCCTCAAACAAAAAAATAAATAAATACATTTACACACCTGTTATTTTGAGATTTTTCATTTTTAGCACACAAATCTGAACATTGGATGAAATCAGGTTAAAATTCATATTAGATTAGATTTAACTTTGATGTCATTACACATGTACAAGTACAAGGCAACAAAATGCAGTTTAGGTATAACCAGGAGTGCAAGTGCAGGATACAGGTAAAAATTAAAAGTGCAGCTATAGAAAAACTATGGTGATATTTACAGATGGATGTACTATAATCATTATATAAAGGTTGTATTAACTATGAACAGAGTTTTATAGTAGATGAATATACAGTTGAAAATTTAATTATTAGCCCCCCTTTGATTTTTTTTTTTCTTTAAGTATTTTATCAATTATGTTTGACAGAGCGAGTTTTCACAGTGTCTGATAATATTTTTACTTCTAGAGAAAGTCTTATTTGTTTTATTTCTGGATAGAATAAAATAGTTTTACATTTTTTTAATACCATTTTAAAGTCAACATTGTTAGCCCCTTTAAGCTATATATTTTTCGATTATCTACAGAACAAACCATCATTATACGATAACCTGCCTAATTACCCTAACCTGCCTAGCTAACCTAATTAACCTAGTTAAGCCTTTAAATGTCACTTTAAGCTGTATAGAAGTGTCTTGAAAAATATCTAGTAAAATATTATTTACCGTCATCATGACAAAGATAAAATAAATCAGATATTAGTAATGAGTTATTAAAAATATTATGTTTAGAAATGTGTTTTAAAAAAATCTGTTCTCTGTTAACCGAAGTTGGGAAAAAAAAATAAACGGGTGCTAATAATTCAGGGGGGCTAATAATTTTGACTTCATCTGTATGTACGGTTTGCTATTAATAATCGGAGGTATGCAGATAGATGTAAACAAAATAACAAATGTATGTGTACAGTGTGTATGTGCAATTCAAGATGAAGTAGTGTGATGAATGTGCAATTTTGATTGTGCAAATATTAAATAATAAACAATGCAGAGTTCATGGGAAGTGTAAGTCACGAGGTATAAAGAAAACAGAAAAAACAGCATGTGAGCAGGGTGAGAGGAGTTCTTAAGAATACTAAGTGCTCAGCGCTCAGACAGTGTTTCTTCTGCAATGTCCTCTTGAAGTGAAAGTGGTGTCCCTGTCATGCATTGAGCAGTTTTCACCACCTGCTGCAGTGCCTTACGCTCAGTAAAAGAGCAGCTTCCATACCTGACTGTGACGCATTTAATAACGGTTTCATTTTTTCACGTATTATTAACACCTCCATAATTTAGAAAACAATTCTAAATAAAAATTAAACAATAAAAATTTACGAAATGTTTTTTGCAATAAGCCAAATGATGTAGAAACAAATCTCTAAATAAAATGTACTGGTGTTTTTGGTTTGTTTGTTTGTTACAATTACAAGTGTTTCTTTTATGCCACTTTATTTTAATCTGTGTTTGTAGATTTTATTTGAGACATTTTAATGTATATATTTCTCCATAACTGAGCCATAAATCTTCACCAAATTTCTTGTATATTCATTTTTATCTACAGTGCATCTAGAAAGTAATCATAACACTTCACTTTTTCCACATTTTTTATGTTACAGCCTTCTAAAATAGATTCAATTCATTCATTTTCTCAAAATTCGTTCCCACTTTATATAGTCTCTTATACCTCTGAACTTACATGGTAACTAGATGTGTAAGCAGTATGTAACTACAGTGTATGTACACACTGGTACATAGTATTTACTTGTGTAATACTGGTGTAACTACACACATGTAACAACTCACTGAATAGTATGTGTAAGTTCAAATGTGTAACAGGACATTGGTAACAAAGAAAGTACACATTTTTAACAAGAATTCTGTAAGTGCATTGCGGAACAACAATACGCACTTGCAGGTGTTTTTCCACTCCCACATTTGTTTGCATACTATGTACTTGTTAACACTGTATGGCAAAACTAATGCTGCATTAGAAGGTTTCACCTTGTAATACCAGTGTACTAACATGGTAACTCCACAAGAACTGTCCACTAGTTTCTTATGGTTTGAAAGTCCTTTAGATGCTTTTCGGCAAATTCAAGGCGGGGAGTGACTTCAGTCTGGCCACTTCACCATGCAGGCCTTATTGGTGGATTGCTGCACAGATGGTTATCCGTCTGTAAGGTTCTCCTCTGTCCACGGAAGAACGCTGGAGCTCAGACCTCCCTGACTAAAGCCCTTCTCCCCTGATCAATCAGCTTAGATGGCCAGCCGGCTCTAGGAAGAGTTCTGGTGGTTCCAAACATCTTCCATTATTGGATGATGGAGGCCACTGTGTTCATTGGAACTTTTAGAGCAGCAGAATTTTTTTGTAACCTTCCCCAGCCTTGTGCCTCAAGACAATCCTGTCTCTGAGGTCTGTAGACAATTCCTTTGTCTTCATGCTTGGTTTGTGCTTTGACATGCATTGTCAACCCTGGGACCTTATATAGACAGGTTTATGCTCTTTCAACTCATGTTTAATCAACTGAATTTACCAAAGGTTAACTTACATGAAGCTGCTGAAACATCTCAAGAATGATCAGTGGAAACAGAATGTGCCTGTGCTCAATTTAGAGCTTCCCAGCAAAGGCTGTCAATACTTATGTAGTTGTGATTTTTCAAGTTTTTATTTTCAATAAATTTGCGACAGTTTCAAAAAATCTTTTTTCACATTGTCATCATGGGGTATTGTGTGTAGAATTTTAAGGAAATAAATTAATTTAATCCATTTTTGGGAAAAGGCTGTTACATAAAAATGTGGAAAAAGTGAAGTGCTATGAATACTTTCCGGATGCACTGTTTGTGAAAAAAATACTTCCAATCCATTGTTCAGATTGTTGTGTTAAAAATGCAAATTAGCTCACATTTAGTAAAATAATACACAAACATAACATGTTAGAAAATGTGTTATACACAAAGTAACTAACTATTAGTTATTTTCTCTCTCTTATTCACTTTCAGTGTCTTCACATTGTTTAAATACAGTCCGTTGCGTGCCACTGTTGATTTCAAGGATGTGTTTTGTGTGTTGTGTGATGTTTAGCTGGCCAAGAACGTGGGGAATGCTGGCTTCAATGAGATCATGGAGGCCTGTCTGACGGCAGAAGATGTGATCAAACCGAATCCAGCCAGTGACATGTAAGCTGAAGATTGTCTGAAAATTTCGCATTGCTCTATTAATTTACTAACTTATTCAACCTGAGAGGCTTACCTTTTGTTTGTGTGGTGCACTGTAATGTGTTTATGTTTAGCTTTTAAAAAATCACTTTATTTTCGCATGAGAAACGATTGATGGAAATGACAAATGAAAAGGTGAGGTGCCTGAGGTGGTTTTGAACTTGATATTGTTTATGCTCAAACAGCAACAATACATAAAAGTTCAACTGAAGTAAAAAAAACAAGTAAAATTGTAATCAATGACCTTTTTAAATTCCCTTGTATGACAGGCAGGCGAGGAAGGACTTTATCATGGCCAAATACACAGAGAAACGCTTCGCTCGTAAGAAGTGTCCAGACGCACTGTCGAAGCTGCACACGCTCTGTGATGCTGTGAAGGCCCGGGACATTTTCTCTCTCATCCAGGTCTATGCTGAAGGAGTGGATCTGATGGAGCCCATTCCTCTGGCTAATGGACATGTGAGTGTTACCATCATACCTCACACTAGATTATATTACATCTTTACAACTTTATTTATAGAGCACAATTAAGTTCAACTTCATTTAAGCAAAGTGCTGTACAAAGATTAAAAAGAGAAAACAGGTGGAAGGAATGAAAAAAGGAATAATGATAGCAATACAAATACAAATTGTACCTAACAAATACAAACAATCATATAATATTTTTTTTATATTATGTTATATTTATTATATTATATTTATTATATAATATTATTATATTATATTAATTATATTATATTTATTATATTATGTTAAATTATATTTATCATATTAAATTTTATTATTATATTAAATTAAATTATATTTATTGTATTATATTTATTATATTAATTATATTTATTATATTATATTATTATATTAAATTAAATTATATTTATTATATTATAATTTTGTTAATTGTGTTGACTTTTAAGGCAAGGCAAGTTTATTTATATAGCACATTTCATACACAATTCAAAGTGCTTTAATTCTTGATTTGAACATGTCTAATGTTGGAGCACATCTGATTTCTGGAAGATGATTCTAGCAGTGGGGGCGTAGTAGCTGAAGGCTGATTCATCTTGTTTTGATTGAATACTTGGAATTTCTAATTTAAAGATCTAAGTGATCTGTTTTACGTGATCGGTTTGTTTTCAGTGAGCATATCTCTAATGTAATGCTCTGATTTTCTGGTTGTGGTCAGAATCCTGGCAGCAGCGTTCTGAATGTGCTGCAATTGTCTGACTGTTATTTAGCGACGCTACCGCCGCTCTACTGGAAAATATAGGTTTAGCAGAATAGCAGCACTTTAATAAAAGGCCTAAGCAGAAGGCATTGTGCATATCAAAAAAAGCAAAGCAACAGATTAATATCATTTAACAGATCCCAGATTTTTAAAGAACATTTTTAGAAGTAACCCCATTTGTAATCTTTATTATTTTCATAAGTAACTGTAATTAAATTATACTTTTTTTTCCTCAGTAATTGTAACAAATTAGTTACATTTATTTTGTAATTAAATTACGTAACGGCATTACATGTAACTAGTTACTCCCCAACACTGATTGTAACAAAAGCTTTCATAAATGATGTGTAATCCTGGTTAATCCACATACAGTGAATTCTGTCAAAAAATATCACAACCTTTCAGCCACGAGTAGCCCTTGAGTGTACAAACACAAGTAGTAACCAAGCTAGAGAATAAACATGTTGTTTTGTTTGTCTGGCTGCGGCAGGAACAAGGTGAGACGGCTCTTCATCTGGCCGTGAGACTGGTGGACAGAACTTCCCTACACATCATCGACTTCCTCACCCAAAACAGGCAAGAGCCAGACACACCTGAAAACACCTTTTTCCCGAATCTGCTGAGCGAGTGCTGACCGATGCTGTCCCGCAAACTCAGTCTGAATCAACAGCTTTTATGTCCTCGTTTGACCACAGCTATTTAAAAGTGCTGCTCCTGAAGGTTAAAGAGGCTGTGGCTGGAACGGAAAATTGAGATTGAATGTTGTCTAAACAGGCAAAATTGTGTGTGTTTCTCTCCGCAGTTTAAACCTGGATAAGCAAACGGCTAAAGGAAGCACAGCTCTGCATTACTGCTGCCTGACGGACAACAGCGAGTGTCTCAAACTGCTGCTCAGAGGAAAAGCCTCCATAGATATCGGTATGAGGCAAATCTCACGTAGATCCTGTCCAATGCGGACGTTTGGGTGCGACATACTGAAGGATTCCCAAAAGTCTTGTTTTGTCTGGTGATTTCTTTATTTTCAGGATGTTTTCAGATGATCTTCTTGTTTTGACTTCAGCTTGATTTGAGAAGGTTTGTTGTCATGAGTAGGGTTTGCACCAGCTGATTGTAAGTTTTTTCTTAAACTGGAATGTAAAGTCAGCACTAGGAGCTTAGTATATTCTAGCTCAGGGGTTTTCAAAGTCTAAGACAGTGGGCCTCCCTTTTGACACAACTTATCCATTGGCGCCCCCCTCCTCCCAAACACGCACACACACACACACACATACACACACACATACATATATATATATATATATATATATATATATATATATATATATATATATATATATATATATATATATATATATATATATATATATATATATATATATATATATATTTATATATATATACAGTATATATAAAGACACAGACAAGATGTAAGACTGTTAACTCACTTTTATCATCATTTGCATGAAAGTGCAATTATTTACAGAGTAATAACAAGTATTTTAATATAACGTTTTAAACTAGGATGATGGTTAATATGAATAGAACTGTTAATCCCAGTCAAAACAGTCAAAGTTTAGCGGGTCTCATGCTGTCATTAGCCAAAATATCTTGACAAACCACACTTAAAGGTCGTGGTTCATCAGCTGGTCCTGTCCACGTAAATCCTAAATTCAAATATTGATCATCATATCGTCTTCTTTTGGGTTTAAGCCCTGAACTTGAAGGCTTTGAATCGGGGGGTCTCAGAAACCGATCCATTGCAGGCACAAGCACACATATGGCTCAACCTGTGCAGTGCACATGCCCTTTTTAGTCCTGGATAGAAAGTGCCCTTCCAAAATGATCAAAAGTGCCCCCGCGACGCGGCACACCCTCGGTCCCGCCCTTCAGTAGGCGCGCGACAACACCGCTCTTGAGCACGCGCGCAACAACTCAGCTGATCAGAACGCGCGCGACAGACCAAAATTTTTGCTCACTTCAGTTGCACCACATGTTCTTAATGCAAACGGGAGTTAATAGGTCGTAAGCTCTCCGTAAAAAGTCAAAAGTCAGACTTGAATGACTAAACTGCTTTGAAATTCTGCAACTAATGCATCTACAGTATATATGACTGCTCTATGAAATAAAATTATAAATAACATTTTTAAAGCACATTAAATTACAGTCAATCAATAATAACATACAATGCACACATCTGCATCGCTAGCCGTGAATGGGCCGTGAATTTTTTTTACATCCTACTCATGAAAGAGAAAAGAGCAGAAAAAAACTCAGCTGTGAAGAAATTCTTGTTTTAATTGATGGATACAACAAACACAAAACACTTCTTGATAGAAAATTAAACTCTTCCTTCATAAACCAAAAAAAAAGCCAGATTTGGGAGGAAATTAAGGCTGTGAGTAGATTCTTCTCGCAAGCTCTTCAATTAAGTCGTAAGTATTTAATTGGAAAAGCGTTACATTTAAAATTTTGGTTCTGTGGGGCAACACAAATATATTTAGTAGTGTGTAAGTTGTAACTTGGTGTCGCTTTAAGTCACAACTGGGCTATGTTTTAACTTGCGCACTGCATGTGCAACTGGCCCCTGTTGTTGAACCTAAATAAATGGAAATGTAATGTTCATTTAGTGACCTTTGGGTCATTCAAGATGTTGGTGGCATTTATTCTGAAATAGTTCACTCAAAAAATTTAACTTTTCACACCATTTACTCACGCTCCAGTTACTCACACTCAAGTTTTTATTATTATTATTTTATTATTATTCAAAGAATGTTTAAAAAAAAGTCATTGACTTCTATGGTACAAACAAAAAATATGGAAGTTAATGAGTTTTACCACATTATTTACTTATCCTTACATTTTTTTAGATATACTATTTTTTATTATTTAAAGAATGTTTGAAAAAAGCAGTCCTTGACCTCCCTAGTACAAACAAAATGTTTTACTATGGTGTAATATAGTTTTTTTCTGCACATTCCTCAGTATATCTACCTTTGTGTTCAACAGAAGAAAGAAAGGTTTGTAACAAAAGGAGGATGAGTAAATGACAGAACTTTCAGTTTAAAGAATATCTTTAAAGAACGTTTTTGCCGGAACAGTGATTCTTGGTGATCCATAAAACACAACTATTATAAAACTACCCATGTCACATTTCCCAAAATAGATAAATAAATAAATAAAATAAAAAATAAAATAAAAAAATGGATAAACAAATAAAATGAATAAATAAATAAATACAAATAAATAAATATGATTAAGTTTATTACTTTTATATTCTCTGTGCTTTTATAATGTTGAAATTTCCCTAACAACATGTGGAAAATAAAGACAAACGAAACAGACCATAAACAAATGAAAACACAGTTGCAGGCCACTTACTTTTCTTTCTGTGCAGCTGCTTTCCATTTTACAATTTCCATTATGGAACAAATTAGTTTAAAAACTGAATATAAATGTACACTCACTTACACAAGTAAATAAAAAGACTTAATGGGCTAAAAGTCTGCGGATTTCTGTGGGCACAGATTCCGTACTGATCTATGACTATATGCTAGCCATCATGGTTTCAGCAAAAATCTTATTTTAAAAATCCGTCTTATACGGGTGAAGGCCGATTAAATAGACCCCATATTTTCACTTTCACTTCAGCAGTGTTCCCCAAACAATGGCAAGAGCAGATAAGAGCTGCATGTGTCTGAGTGTGTGTGTGTGTGAATCTGTGCCAGGGAGTCTCCTCTCCATTATTTCTGCCAGAGTCTTCTGTGAGCAAGCTGTCTGGATCTTTGTTCAACTCATTGCACAAAGCCAAGAGTACTAAATGTCATGGGACATCCTCCTTCTTTATTAAATGCATCATAGCTGTGTTTGTTTGTGTGTGTTTAAGCTAATGAAGCTGGAGAGACCCCGTTGGACATCGCCAGGCGACTCAAACATCTGCAGTGTGAGGAACTGGTGAGCCCTTTTGCTCTTGTAGTTTAATATGAGATGAAAGCGCGCTGGGTTTATGGTGTCTCTGTGTGTGTGTTTTAGCTGAACCAGGCTCTTGCAGGGAAGTTCAATGCTCATGTGCATGTGGAGTATGAGTGGAGACTTCAGCATGAAGACCTGGACGAGAGTGATGAAGATCTGGATGAGAAGGTGAAAAACGACTCGATGCTTGTATTCGATTTTGACTTATGACTAGGCCAGATTTCCACAGATTTTAAGCCCATCAAATATATTTCTTTACTTGTGTAAATCTATATTTACTCCGTTTTTACATTTATTTCAGTAATATTATTAACTAACATGAGAGTGTTCACATGATTTATTTACAGTAAAGTTTGTGCAGTAATATTTTGTCCTTTAGTAGATGTATTATGTGAGAGACTTGCTTTGTTTATCAAATAAGCGGATCTAGATGGATTTGCATTGTAAACATTAATTAAAATTTTAAAAGCTATTATTTTTTATTTCATATATTAAGTTTTAGTTATGATACTCTCAAAATCCACATAAATCTGCTATTTTTTTAAATAAAATTCCCAGCAGAAATAGCAAAACAAGTCCGCAAATTCTGTCTGGCCCTACATATGGCTAGTGGGTCATATACACACGTCTGAACAGATATGAAAAAAGAGAGCACTTGAAAACTTTCTGGACTATATAAGTAAAATCTGTATATTATTTTGTATTCATTGTATTCATTTATTCATTGTTCATTGTCATTTAAGGGTTTTATTTTCAGAAAATGACAGTTAGTCAGAACACAACAGTTATTGTAAATGATGGTTGTTTCACCAATTACTGATTTCTTAACTCTTTTAAATTTAAAACAGTCTTTTTATTTTAAAAATTTATATAAGGACGTATTTTATATTTACACTCCGTTACACTCACCCCCCCTACACCTCATTCCCATCCCGGATGAGCCCACACGTGGCGATTCTTTATATGGGAGTTGGTTGCACTACCAAGGAGGCTAAAGACCATGGCCTCTAACGTCTGTCACTCGAGCACCTTTATTAGTCAGAGGAGTGAGGTTTACCTGCATAGCACTTTACTAGCTGGCCTCAGTTATGCTTCCACCAGTCCTACTGCACCCAAACCAGTGTGAGCTGGGATTTAACTGACAATTATTTTAATAAACGATTTATATAAGGCACTGCATTTTCTTTTTTAAATGTGGAAGAGATGTCTTGGAAATACTCAGTTATTCTGGATTTATGATTTGCAGTTAAACAAACTATAAAGCATTTAACTGTAAATCATAATCCATAGAAACTGATCATTTGTAAATGGTCTCTTAATGTTTTCCATATCTGAATGTTTATGTGTTTAGAATGTTATGTAATACATAATAATTGTATTTAATATAAAGTAAGGTAAATATAAGTCTAAATTAAGTCTAAATTAAACTGCTATTGCAGCATATTAAATGCATAAATATAGTACAGTCAACCCAAACAGTGTTTTTGCCATTTTAGCTAATGGAAAACAAGATTTAATAGAATTATATGTTCTTGTTCACTGTAATTTGGGTTTAATTGCACTTCCATACATAGTAAGAATCTGCATATATTTAATGTTTTACTAAAAGATGAAATATCTGGAAAAAAAACCCATACAGATAAACATGAAATGTGTGCTTTGAAATTAAAAAAAAAATGTGTTATTTTATATCTAAATTAATAATTACAAATAATATTTTTTTTAAATCAGTTAATTCCCTTAAAAGTAACTGATCTTTTAAAATGTTGATTTTGTAAGTGGATGAACAATCAATTGATCAAATAAAAAGGGCATTATACTTATGGACATAATTTAAAATGCGGCTTCATTTTTACATTTTTGCAAAAAGGTTTTAATTGTTGTGAATATTAATTCTGGTTATTTACTATAAACAAATACCTTTTAATATAACAAATAAATACAAAATAAAAATATGATAAATAATTTTTTTTCTGCTTTATACTATATATACAGTGCTCGGCATAATTGAGTACAGCCCATTTTGAAAATAAATATTTTTATCCATTTCTCAGTTAACATTGTTGTATTTTGGTGCATTTAAATTAAACAGATTTATTGAACAGATATATTTATTAAAATAATACTTTAGTCACCAAACATATTTAGAAATTAAAAGATAATACAATTAAATTCAAGCAAAATATTGCAAACAAAAATTGCAACCTATACATTTTCAAAAAATTGAATTCTTTTTGCTTCTCTTGATTTTTCCACTTTTTTTAAATTTGTATTTAAGATTTTCCTCTTACATATACATTTGGGTGAACTAGTTTTTGGACTATTATCGCAAATTATTTTGTTGGACAAGCTCCAGATTTAACTTCAGTACTGACAAATCTAATGTATATGCACAAATATAATATAGTAGAGCTTCCTATTAAACTTATGAATTTAAAAGAGAGATTTGTGTTGAGAGTAACTACTATATATATATATATATGCTGAGCACTGTATTGTGTTAAGCAATAAGAATAATAATTAGTATTCATTATATGATGTCCTGTAATGTTTGTGTGTAGTCGAGTCCTCACCGGCGGGATGAGCGGCCCATCAGCTGCTACACACCGGGCAGTAACTCCCTTCAGCTGAGTCCAGCCAGCCTGAGCCGAGACGGTCGAGACCTGGTTAAAGACAAGCAACGCTTTGTGCCAAACCTGGTCAACAATGAAACCTACGGGACCATCATTAACACCAGCTCACCCGTCAGCCTGTCCTCTTCTGCTCCACCTCTACCACCCCGAAACCTAGGTACTGTACTCACATATGCATCATAAAGGGAAACTGAGAGACTTTTAAAGAATTACATGATATAATTTATATTTTACACAAATAACATGAAGAATACAAGAATTCTTTGTTGAAGCTACACAACTATACAATTATAAGACCATTTCTATAACTATAGTGTTACTGTATTATTATTATTACCATGTAATCATTATAATTATTTTGTAAGAAATGAGACCTTATTGTGAAGTACAACTAGAATGAATAATTTTTAACTAGTTTTAAATGCTATTAAATGTTTTTTTTTATGAACTAATGTGATGGATACTACACTCAAAAATATTTTTGCTTCTGGTTCAAAGTACTGATTTAAAATGAGCTAAAACACAATTTTTGCATGGGGGGGTGACTTAATCTTTTTATGTTCAATCTACTTAAAATTGTAAAAACAATTAAGTTAAATCAAATCCATTTTGTGGAACTCAGCTTTTTTATTGTGTATAATTATAGATAATCACTACACAAAACTATATATGAATTCTCCAGAATATGATTGAACTCCTTGAATGTGATGTTTAACTAATAGTTTAGTTACATAATAATAATAATAAAGTCAGTTTAAACATTACAACACTGTGGCTTTATTGTAATATTCCTTGCATGTAAATCATTATCATAATTATTATATGCAAGCAATATTAAAATAAAGCCACACTGCTATAATGCATACATTGAATTAATTATTATTATTATTATCATTGTTATTGCTATTATTATTTTTCAAGTATGAAGTACAACCAGTTTTCAAATAACATTTTCTTGTAAGTGACAAAAATATAATAAAATATAAATAAAATGTCCAGCATGCGTTAAAAAAAAAACTAAGTCATTACAGGATCAGCTTTATATTTGTTTTGGTTGTGAACAAAGTGTGTAACTGAATGTTCTACTTACAGAAACCAGCTAATGATGCTGTCAAACAGGGCTAAAGTCAGCAGTGCTGTTTAAGAAGGTTTTCTGCTTGACATTCAGGCCACAGCAGGCTGCTGTATTTTTAGCCTCACAGATGTCAGATTCTCTCAAAAAGCCAGAACTCTCATTTGACCTGTTCTTGAAGATCAGTTCATGAAGATGCTGCTGACCTACATGAGCTCTCACAAACTCTGCCAGGAGCTCCAGTGCTTGACTTGATTTATCAACATTTAGAGGGCACGCCTGCAATACAGTTATTCCATTTTCAGCTTTTCATCGAGGAGGTCCCTGTACATTGCTGCTTTCTGCTTTCTCTATCATCACTAGTCTTCCAGTTCTTGCAGCTTCACTCAGATGATGCTGAAACCACCATGCTTTACTGTAAAAATGGCTTTGGTCAGGTGCAGAGTCATTGACATTGTTCCTTCAGACAAAGAGTTCAATCTTTGTTTCATCAGACCAGAGAATTTTGTTTCTCGCAGTCCATCAGCAAACTCCAGATGGCCTTTATGTGCCTTTTTACAGACGAATGGCTTCAGTTAGGAGACTCCACTGTACAGGCCTGATTAAGTGCTGCTTTTTCTGGAAGGTTCTCCTCTCCACAGAGAAATATTGAAGCTTTTTCGGAGTGACCATCAGGTTCTTGATCACCTTCCTGACTAAGGATCTTCTCCTTGATCATTCTATTTGGCTGGACAGCCCACTTAAGGCCCGGTGGTTCCATTTATGGATGATGGAGTTCACAGTGCTAACTGGGACCTTCAGTGCTGTACTCTTCCCCAATCTGTGCCTCAATACAATCTTGTCTCAGAGATCTACAGACAGTTCCTTGGGCTTCATGACCTGATGTGTGCTGTGACGTGTACTGTTCAAGAAACACTCATTACAAGTCCCCTAAACTTAAACAGTTTTACCATTCTTCAATCTATTCAGCTGTTATTGGGTTTGACTGGAACACTTTTAGCTTAGCTTAGCATAGATTATTGAATCAGATTAGACCATTAGCATTCATTCCCTCATTTTCTTTTCGGCTTAGTCCCCTTATTAATTGGGGGGTCGCCACAGCCGACTGAACTGGTAATCTTTCCAGCATGTTTGAAATAGCAACTTTTAATTTTCAGTCAGCCACAGTACACAATGTAACTAGAGAACAGTCAAGCTTTTATTGTAAATATTCTCAAAACGTTTTAGAAAATTCTTCTGCAAGATGCTGGTCTGATCCGATTCAATTGATTATGCTAAGCTAAGATAAAATGGCTCCTATCTGACCAAGAGATTAACTGAATGAAATAGAAAATGTTAAAACAGTTTAACTTTAGGGGAGTTGCATAATGAACCTATATATCCTGTATGAGCGTATATGAATGAGTGTGTGCCTTTCCAAATCATGTCCACTCCACTGAATTTATCACAGCTAGACTTCAACCAAGTCCATCTCAAGGATGATCAGTGGAAAAGGAGCTACCTGACCTCAATTTTGAGTGTGATGGCAAATTATCTGAATATGGATGTACATGAGATTTCTTTTTTCTTATTTCTTATTGGTACTTTAGCAAAGATTTCAGCCATTGGTAAACTTCTTTCACAAATGTCATTATTTGTATTGTTTGTAGACTCTGGATGAAAGTAATGAGCTTAATCCATTTTGGACTAGAGCTGTAACAATTAAAGTGGAAGAAGTGAAGTGAATGCTTTCCGGACATGCCTGAACTGCTGTTTTCTGACTCCTCTGTCATTTTTTATTGTGTTTATTTTGTTATTAAGAAGAAAGAGCACTTGCATCTTCACTGAGTATAGTCAGGCCTTTAGCACAAGATGCTTTTCTCTCCATTTGGCACTTTGAACAGAGTCTCTGGTTCAGACTTCACAATGAGCCGCATTATTAAAGACACTAATGAAATTAGGTGCGTAATGGAGCTCTGCTGCTCTGGAGGAGATCCAGCTCCAGAAAAAAAAGAGTTCTAGCAGAGCTTTCTCATCGTCTAGTGAACAAAAGCTTTGTCTTGTAGTCATTTTCTTGAACGCCTCTCTTTTTCTCCCACAGTTCAGCCGTCTGCTCTTGCAGGACTGACTCAAGGATCTCCCGGCTGGAAGCCTGGCTCTCTGGATCTGAGCGGCAGACAGAGATCCTCCTCTGACCCTCCCAACATGCATCCTCCTGCGCCTCCCTTACGGGTCACTTCCACCTCCCGTGAGTTGGCTGAACATCAATGAGTGGATCATCTTTTGCTCCACGCTGAGCGCTTTTATTTCCTGTTATGGTTTGTGTTAAGATGAGGTTGTTTTTTTGGTTAATCCATGGATCCTGCCGGGGATGTCATGACATCATTGGCGTCTCTATTCATGAATATTCATTAAGCTCTTCTGCCTTTTGACAACAGAACTGTCCATTAATATATTTACAAATGCATGTCAGGTAGCAGGGTTATGTTTGATACTTGATACTGGCTTATTTTCTGTTTGCTCAAACACTTTTAGGATGAGCCTGTATCTATTTTCAAATTGTTGATGATTTATAGATCAGCCTTCTAGGTTTTATTTAAAAGAACTTTGTTGAGGCATTAGTGATGGGCCAAACTAAGCTTTTCAAAGCTTCAAAACAATTGAATTGCTTGGAAAACAAAGATTTGAAATTATTTTAACCAATGGGTGTGCAAAATGATTCACCAACGATTCGTCAATGTTATAGTGATGGTTAACTTGAATTAACGATCTATGAAAAGTGATGACGTAACAACGTCCGTTTACTGAAATCACTTGACCGTGCCAATTTGATATGCTCTCCGAAACCACTGATTTATAAGCAAGGATTCGTAAGGGTTTTGAGGCTTTGCGTTTCGAAAGCTGCCATCATTATGCCATCATCAAATTTATTTTTTAAAATTTCCTGACGTTAAAATAGGATCTAAATTCCTCCTATTTTGAGGCCCACCGCAACGTGATGTAGAAGTGTTGTTTCCACCGCCCACTGAATTGACCAACAGCCGGGTGATAACATGTCTCCATAGTAGCTTGTAAAATCATATCAACAAGGATGTACGTGCGCATAGCAACCGAGATTAAAAGATCTGTTCAGCTCTCTGTGATCATCAATCATCATCAAATGTGATCAAGATTGAGTTTTACAAGTTTAAAGTGTTTAAAACACTGCATGTTTGTAATGAATTGCGGCAATTTACTTCAGCTTTACTTCATCACCACAGCCACATGTCAGTACAATTATTAAAGAAGACGCTTCAATCCTAGTTTGTGGACGTTAAATCAGGTTTATTTTATACATCAACTAACAAATATCCATACAGCAGTTGATATTAATGTGTATCCTGCCGCATGGGCTGTTTGTGTGTGTGTGTAACAACATTGTGTGTGACTCATCATTGCAGAAAGGCTTGAATTAACTCCACAACAAATACATCAAATAATCATTGTGAACGTTCTTACTGTAGTATTTCTAATAAAGGTTACGAGACATCTGCTTCCTCCATGATTGTCACTGTGCTGTTTATCTGACGCAGCCATGGTGGAGATCGAGGCACACTCTGAGAGGCATATGGGAATGGTGGGCGGGGAGGACTAGCATTAAAGGCACAGGCCACAAAAACAGCTACATTGTGTTTAGAGCAGAAAACCCCAATATTTTAAAAGGTATAATAAATAATCTGATGTGTGTTTTGAGGTGAAACTGTCCAGACACATTCTTGAGACACAAAAGACCTCTCTTAAATCTTGAAAAAGGGGTCAAATTGGTGCCCTTTAGTGTAATGATGTTTGTTGTTGATGCTCTATTTGCAGTTCTAATGCCCAGCGGTGCTGCTCCTCCTCTGGCTAAAGCTACTGGTATGATGGAGACCATGAATATGCAACCCAAACCCGGACAGGGGCCTCCTGGACAGAACATCAACCGGGCTACAAGGTCAGATTAACAAATAACCCATTACCACAAGCACACACTCTAATATACTCATGTCCTCTGACAGTCCTGCCCTACAGGACAACTCCATTAAACTCATTATATCTCCAAATAGCCGCTGGTGAAAATGTTTGTTGAGTCTGACTCCAGTAAAAGGTGAACACAAAGGTGGAAATGGCCTGTTGGGAACTGCAGATTCACCAGCTCATTAATTCCTATTCAAGGCCTCATTCACGCACACAGTGCCAGAGGACCAGACAAGTAGGCCACTCGGATTACTAATGGGGTTACCTTGAATGACCCGAGCACAAGACCCTGTTTCCACGTGATATTAACATGCAGTCTCATGGCCACTTGTGTTTAGATTTCATCGAGACCCTCTTATTTCAGCATGCTCTAGAGTACTTTTGCCGGAGCTCTCAGTGTAAAACTAATAAAAGATGTGGATGTTAACTTTAGTTTAACGGTTATTTGTGTGCTTGTGTACAGTGCAGCCAAGTATGAATATACTCAGTGCATCCGAAATCACATACATATGTGAGCTAATTAGTATGTCTGTATTCATGGTATTCAAAAAACAGCAGGTTAGAAGAACCCGGGTGTACTACTTATTCTGATGTGCACATCCAATGGACACTTTATTATCCCATAAGGCCATGGGAATTTATGAATGGGATTAAAACAATGCAACTGATTAGAGTAGGTCATGTGATAATGACAACATGGTGAATGTAATACGTCCAAATTACAAGTATTCTTTTATTATTCTTGTAAATTATAAGTTCATCCTACTCGTATTAATAATAAAAGGGCCACAAACTTTTATTTACATGTTACACACATAACCTGACTAACATCATTGCTGCAATATCTACACTTTCTCCAGTGTTTCATGTCATTATGGGTGTTTCGTTCTTAATTTGTGGACTTTAACTGCAGTTTAGCACTTTTATTCAGGAACATTTCATGCATGCCCCGTGACAAACAATATATTGGATGCGAGGAACTGCTGGCAGAGTCTAGTTTTAATGGAATTTAATACCGCACACCATATGGGAGAAAAAAAAACTCCAAATTTTTCGGTGAATGGAGAAAAAAGCACCAAACAGCTGTGTGTGTATAGACTATACTGTCACAAAATGCTGCGAAAATCCTACATGAAGGTAATATTTTGATTGAGGTTTTTACATGTTTGCATTTGTAGAGCAGCATTTACAGCAGATCTGTCAGTTCATAATTTTGCAGTGATGTTAGCGTACTGTAAACTAAATCATTTTGACCAAGGTATGTCTTTAAAAACTGAAATAGTACTGCTGACGATACTAACTAACTTTGACATCTAAGGGTGCTTTCACACCTACACTTTTGTTTCGGAACGTATCTCGTTTGCCCATTTAGCGCGGTTCGTTTGGCATATGTGAACAGGGCAATCGCGATCTGTTCCGCGCCAAAGTAATCGCTCCGAGATCGCTTGAGTGAGGTGGTCTCGGCTCGATTGAAACGAACCCTGGAGCGGATCGATTGCAGTGAGAAAGCGATCCGATCCGAGCGCGGTTATATCACAGTGTTTTATGGATATGTAATAGGCTTACGGCTATATGAAGAGAGAATTATGAGTAGGGCGGGAAGTTTCACGAGTCTCCGGATGCCCGCAAACAAAAACGGTCCTCAAATAGGTATCGTCGCGCACCCTTCTCACCCCTCCCCACCGCGTCTCTCCTCAGACATGTCGCGCACGCGCACCCTGTCAATCACCACCAAACCAGCACCTCTCCCGACAGCTGAGCGGGACGCTGCAAAATAAACCCTGACACTGACCAATGTGAGGAGAGTTTACTCGCACGTGACTTGTTTTAGCTCTTTTGGTCCGATTAGAAACTTTGCAGTGTGAATGCGAACCGCTCCAAGAGCAAAGAGCAACAATGTAACAATTTAATCTCTGTTTCGGAACAACTGAATCGATTCACAGGTGTGAAAGCACCCTAATAAACATAAACAAAGAACACACACACACACTCAGTCTGTAGAGACAGGACAATCAACAACAACTGGAACCACATCTTTTTTTTAAAAGGAGACAAGTGGCAAATTCGGATTTCACCAGTTCCATATGTGAAAAGCTCCAGGTAAAAAATGTTCCTACAAACATATTGTTGTCGCGTGTTAGCAGACCACTGTAATCAGCTGTGCTCTCATTGCGGGCAAATGGAAACTAAATCTGTTGCAGCACATTTATAAACAACACTTATGACTCATGTCTCCAAACATTTCTTCTTCTTCCATTTATTTTATTTATGTTTGCAACATAACATGGCGTTGCTCTGCTATCTGAATAATGTGGTAAAAACAGTCTTCAAAGCTATATCATGCATATTAATGAAGTTGCACTTCATTCACAATAGAGCGCGCTGATTGGTTCAAACCAAGTCTTTCTCATGAATTAATGCTGAAAACTCAAAGAGGTCATGTTGCACTCGCTGGTACAGACATCCAGTCTCCTCATTGGAATTTACACAATGATCTCATCGCCGTAACACAGCTTCAAAATTTCTTTTTAAAGCGAAAGAACGAATTTGCTCGAAATAATGAAATATATTTGTCTACAGAAGCAGGACTGGTCAGCCTGAAATTAAACAGCGTAGTTCAAATGTGTTTTAAAATGTGTGGCAATAGTTTTCAGGATATTCGCAATGAAGTGAGGTTGTCATTGGTCTTGAATGCCCAACAATATTGCACAGAGACATTGTTAACACGGCCACTGAATGAACTTGAGAGTCTTTGTGTACAATCTTCACATCTCTTCACTTGTGTTGGTTGCAGTGCGGACAAAAACTTCAGCAAAAGCACACTGATGCGCTCCGGATCCATCGAGAGACCAGGTAGATGTCAGAGAAACCATGTTAACTGTAAGTTGAATGTTCTAATTGAAGACCTGCGGGCGTCATTGAATTGAAAATGAAATGTTAACTGTGATGTTGTCGTGTTTTGTTGTTGTCAAACAGCTAAAGAAGTCCCAGGAGGCCCACAAAACACCACTGGTCAAACTCTGCCTGCGACCCACATGCCCAGGAAAACGTATTTGGTATGTTCATCCTCAAGAGGAAACTCTGTATACGTGAATACACACTCTTGAAAATGAAGACTCTTTATTGGAGTTGAAGGTTCCATGAAGAATATTTAACACCCTTAAAGCATTTTCACTCCATGAAGGATCCTTTATAGGAGAAAAAATATATTTTTTATATTATTAAAAAATTATTATTATTATTATTAAAGATTGTTTATATTATTAAAATGTTTTACTGATCACTGATAAAGTCTTTGTGGAACCAAAATGGTTCATGTATGGCATCACAGCCAGTATTGTTTAATTTTATAATATTTCTATGCATTAATGTTCAGCATTCTTGATGAGTTCATGAAAATGACTAAACTTTAATGCATTGAAATGTTTTAAAATGAAACATTCACTAGAGTTGGCTATTGGAGCAACTTTTATACATCATATATGTATAAAAATGAAGTGTACTTTGTGCTTTATTGTGTTTGACAGAAGCCGAAGCGTGTGAAGGCCATGTATAACTGTGTGGCCGATAATCCAGACGAGCTGACCTTCTCTGAGGGAGAGCTTATCGTGGTGGATGGAGAGGAGGACCAGGAGTGGTGGGTGAGTGAGCGAGCGAGCGCTACACACTTCATCAGAGCAAAAGCTACTTCAGCATATTTCCATCTCTATTATTGGCTGGCTGTTAATGCTGGGCTGAATACAGAGCAGCTGCTTGTTTCCCAGCAAATGGCTTTGCTTTCCACCGGCTGTGTTTAGTCATTCACTCTCCACGGAGGCTCATCATGAATGAGCAGTTCTCTGTGTGACTTCAGCACTGTTTATGTATCAATGTGTTCAGGCCGTTTCCACCTTAGTCTTGGAGATTTTAAAGCTGCATTATTTTTCATGAAAGATGATTTTGTCCTGAGGTTCTTGTCCTGGATTTGCTTGTCTGATCTTGGGCTATATTTGATGTGATAAAATGACCTAAAAAGCAATCCCTATAGATGGCAGTGGGTAAAATAAATAATTTGGAAAATGTATTAAACCCTGTACTATAACAGTAGACTTTGAAGAGTGTGATCTCTCAGCATCATGCAGCTGCTCACCTGAAACTGATTTCTGCTGTTATATTGAGTGTTCAGATTAGGCCTCAATGCTTTGCTTCACAGACATATTTAAGCATTAAATAATCAGTTATTAATATTATTATGACTTATTATTGTTATTCTGTTATTAGTTACTCAACCACGTCATTTCAATCCCACGAGACCTTTGGCATTTCTCTAAAATATCTTCACTTGTGTTTTGAAAATGAACCGAGTTCATTCATCCTCCATATACAAAACACTGGCAGTGAGACATTTACAGTCCAGAAAAGCACCTAAAAACCTTCCTTATGACTTCATGTTTTTCATTTAAATTATCCAAATTTTTTTTCAAAAAAAGAAGGTAACGACACCCTAATTAATAAAATCATTTTTACTTGCATGTAAACTGAATGGCAAACAATTTTCTGCATAATTCAAATCAATTTAGTTGGACTAAAATGAATTATGTATTACTGGCCATATATACATATAAATATATAGCATATATTTTACGCAGCGGATTCCAGCTGCAACCCATCACTGGGAAACACCCATGCACACTCATTCACACACATATACTACAGACAATTTATATATATATATATATATATATATATATATATATATATATATATATAAATATAAAAAAATCTGAAACATCACCTCCAGTAAGTTATGAAGACATATTCACAGCAATATATATATTTTTTTATCAAATTAGTTTTTCGCAAATCGATCAAATGTGTGTGTTGCTAAATGACAACACTGTGCAATAGTGGAACGTGCAATATTACAATGGGTTAGTAAGCTAGCAAGGTCAGCTGTGAACTTTTAAGTTGTAACAATAACAACATGAAGTCTAGTAATATAATGTTGATTAGTTGAATGGTAATTGCATTTATATTACAGATAAAATGTAGTTTTAATGGTAATACTGCTTTTGAATAGATATGAATACAGGGAAGAGTTTATTAGCGAACACCATTATGTTCTAATGCAAGTGAAAGAAGAAAAGCACAGAACTGGCTCTTCCTGCAGATGAGATGGGTTTTAGTGACCATGAGAATGATGCAGACTGGACATTTGATATAGACAGTTCAGGTAAGTTAGCTTAGAGGCAGATAAGACAGGCGTAGTATAGTGTAGCTACATTATTCTGATGCATCTGGATATGCTAGACTTGTTGTTTATTTGTTATATTTACTGGAGGAAATATTTATATTCACTGTATGTTGTATATATGATAATGCAATATTATGATTGTTTTCAATAATATTCAGCAAAAAAGAATGGAATAAATGAAAGCTGTACGATACGAAGTGTTGCAGTGTGTATAAGGTGTCATTTATAAGTTTAGTGTTATAGCTCATAATACTGCAACACCAATTAAATCAAAACAAACAAGAAAATTATTAATTATAAGGAAAGATTTAAATTTGAAATTTCTAAGTTGGATCCACTGTTGAACGTTGTTGCCATATGGCAACATTTCATAAAGTACCTTAAAAAATTTCCCCTTTTTTACAGCACTTCAAGTTAAGCCATTCTAAGAAAAGAGTCAAACATATTTTTTTATAGATTTATCATAATGTGTGCAGTAGGGGGTTAAGTGTTTCAGGACATAAGAGAAGGTAATAAAATATTGACTATATAGCTTATATTTTGTTGCGCTCAGCAGCTATCCTTTATTAAAAATCTTCATTTACAATTTAATTTTTTACATTTTACCACATCATATAAAAACATAAACATTTATTTGAGGACATAGAACACATTTTTAAGAGCAGTTTTTTTCCAATCTGCTTGTAAAGCAGCGCTGCAGGACTGGATGACAGAAAAGAAGGTCGTTTCTGGTTTCACTCACCCAAAAAAGGCTCTGTTTGCACGATTTGATTTATATCATCGTATCCAAATACTTCATAAATAATATTTTAAACCTCCTCTGTTGTTTCTTGTTTTAGGAAATAGAAATGCCACATATAAATTAAAACTACTTTATTATTTTATGCAACAGCCTTACATTTAAAAGGGAAACATACGGGCGATCATAAGCAAAAAGACCCCTAGCCCATAAGGTGTTTTATGGAATAGCCTAACTGATTAGCTAGCTAGGTTTTCTTTTCCTTATTTATTTATTTTTTTGCGCATGTGCTCGTGTGCGATCAGAAAACTAGTGTAGTAGTGGCACACCATCCTTACCAGACTCGGGCAAACTCCATCTCTTCTTTCACTCTGCCTCGAAGCCCCAGCTGGCCCTGACACGCTCGCTTTAGGCACGATGGTGGAAATGCGGCGAATGATTCAAAACACAGCCAAGGAGACAAATGCTTTCAGAGAAAGAAAATGAAGCTGTTGAATGGCCCAGCCAATCACCTGACTTCAATCCAATAGAAAATACAAAATAAAGATCAGATTTGACATACGAGACCCACAGAACCATCAAGATTTGTACACTGTTAAAGGCTGTGAAATAAAACACACCTGAGCAATACATGACTTCATGTTCAATACTTATTCCCCCCACGGTTTAAATAAATAGTTTTTTGACATGCAGTATCAGGACCATCGACCAACTTTTTCTTGACTGTTTTTTTTATTTCTTTATTTTTAAAGCTGGGCCACATTGAGGGAGAGCCAATGAGAAGAGGAGCGTTTCCTGTCACGTTTGTACAGTTCATTATGGACTGAAGCTCGAGAGATCACACACTGAACTGATGACGGCACTTCTCTGCCTCTGTGTGGCCTCACTAACCACCACTATCTTCATCATCATCGTTGTTCTTCCCTTTATGGTGAGGCCTGTATCTTCACCAATCTTCCACAAGTCCTGCCTCTGGAGAAATCAGCCTTCTGGGCAATAAACGCACTTTTGAACTTAATTTATCATGAACACAATGCTAATGAATGTCACCAAGATGAAGGTTTTGTTTCAGGATCATTCACATCCTTATTTCTTTAGACAGATCTGTGAATATAGTCTTATATGCCCACATTCCACATCTGGCAAGGAAAGACGGAAGCATAGTAGTGAAATGACAGCCTTTTTGGAGGACTCTGTTGGATAAGACGGCTCTGTTAATGGTGCTAAAGCAGGAATATGCTACAGGAGCTGTCTGTCCTAGGAGGAGCGCACTGATGTCCCCGTTTTCACACTACCTGCCCCAGTGCTGAGTGCAGAAATAGGTTTTCTCCAGCACTCGCACATGGGAAATCTCTGAAGTGCACTGTGTGATGGAGAAACTGACAGACTGAAGAGTGCTTTTGCGCTGGCTGAGGGACGTGAAGATTAAATGAAAGTAATCTTGACCCTGAAGCTGCTGGGATTTTGGAGCGTTGTGAATGTTCTCTGGCCTCCAGGGAAAGGAGAGGAAGAGCATCCAGGAGCTTTTTTTCTGTATAGGTATTTATAAATCGGAGCTGTTCTGTTTTAGACTCTCGTTGATTTTAACGATCTTCCGCAGAACTTGCTTCATTGTGCGAGCAATCTGCTGAATGATGTCATTTCTTTTTAAAGAGACAGACCAAACCTTCAAACTAATTAATTTACTCCAGGAGTGTCAAAGTTCCTGGAGGGCCACAGCCCTGCACAGTTTAGTTCCAACCCTGCTCCAACACACTTACCTGCAAGTTTCAAACAAGCCTGAAGAACTTAATTAGTTTGATCAGGTGTTTAATCAGGGTTGTGCAGAGCTGCGGCCCTCCAGGAACTCAGTTTGACACCTGTGATTTACTCAATTTACAAAATGTCCAGAGTGCTCTATATCAGCATTTCCCAACCCTCTTCTTGAAGGCACACCAACAGTACACATTTTCAACCTCTTCCTAAGCAAACACGCCTCAATCAACTCAACAGACCATTAGAAGAGACTCTAAAACCTGAAGTAAATGAGTCAGATAAGGGAGACTCCCAAAATATGAACTGTTGGTGTGCCTCCAGGAACACTGTTTGGAAACCTTCTCTATATGCTCAATTTGATGTAATCCAAGTTGTCTGAAGACATACAGTAAACTTAAATGAGTAAATAGATGGGTTTTAGAGGAAAACTAAACATTTATTCTCAAGTCTTTACAAACCTTACTTCAGTGTTTATTTGGAGCAATGTGGGTACTAAATGTAGGAATCTGTTCATATGGAAATATATATATATATATATATATATATATATATATATATATATTCAAAAAAGGTAATAGTGACTTTAATCGTACAGTTCTGCTTATTTTATATATGAAAGATTTGCAACAGAAAAGTGCAAAATTGAGGTGGCACAAATGGATTTCAATACACTGATCCAATTCTCTAAATATTGTCTTATACAATGAAATCCTACAGGATTGTAATAGCAAATTAAGTTATTTTCTGAAAATCATTCACTGTCATTGTCAAACAAGGTCAAATCATCAACTTCACATTTGAATATGGATTCAGCTTTGGTTTGAGTATTCTGGTTACAGGGTGAACATGTTTCATCAATCATACTGATTAAAGCACTCTTGCCATTTTTCACTAATCATCCTCTGGTTCAATGGAAGAAAAAAGTCATACTTTTGGCATGACGGTGAGCAAATGACAGCATTTACATTTGTGGAGGGGGAGTGACTGTCTTTTAAGATGCTTTTGCACAGTTTTAAATAGAGTCTGTTTTAATTTAAACCTTTGGATAAAAGCGTCTGCTAAATTAATAAATTTAAACAGATTACGAAGTGTGAATGACAGCTATTTTCTACTAGACCGTTTTGGTGTAACCTGACGGTTGTTCCCTGTAGCAGTAATAACTCTCTTTCTCTCTCTAGCGCTCTAATTGTATTCCAGAGAAAATGAAAATCTCTCTCATCACTTCTCCTAATCCTTTGTAAAGCTCATCCATCAGTGAGTGTGTGCAGGAGTAACACAGCAGAGCGTTTTCTGTCAAGAGTGTTTGATGTGGTTGCAGAGCAACTTAGCGTCTGTTATGTAACTTTTAATTACAGTCATGTTAGTCTTGATTGAGCTCAGGCCAGTGTGTATACGGCCTGCAGTGATTGTAAATAACTGTAGACTTTTTGCTTTGTGCATATTTAATTGTAAACAGAGAGCTAAACTGATACTGACTGATGTGTTGACGTATTGTTAGATAAGACTGTTACAGTACACTTTTAACTACTCACCCCTTTACCATAAACATTGTTGACGCTAATATATAATTCATATATGTACAAATAAATGGGAAAACTGGAATGAATAAAAGCTGTTCTCCTGTTCGATGAATACTTTAGATGCCTGGGGTAATAGCATATTAAAATGTATAGAGCACTGACATCTAGTGGCCAGGGAAAAAACAAAACAAATGAGATATATAGATAGAAATCACATCTGCATTGATTTATTGTACCATATTGGCTGATCCCATCCCACCTGGACCAGGACAACAAAAAGGGGCACGTACATGGGCAAGGCACAGAAGACTTGGGGTTTTACAGCATCATTGTTTACAGCATCATTCCACACTATCATTAAATGTACCATGATTTCCACAAATCCCACTGGAGCTCCAGAAATCGCAGATTTGCTGGTCTGCTGTGGAAAATGTGCTCTGTATATTTACATTAAATAAAATAAAATTAGCTAACAAACATAGACACTGCCCAAACTTGGACTTTTGAGTGATGGGGGCATTAGGAGTAAAGACTAATGAAGGTGGTGTAAACAAGTGGATGAGAAGCCGAACGAACGGCAGCACTAACATTAAATCAACGTGAGACAAATTCCAGCATTTGTGTCAGATCTGTTTAAAAAAAGGGCACCTTCACAAGCAGACGTCCTTCTGAAGGTGGAGCATCCCGAACACACATCAGGGCTTCTCTGAGGCCAGGGCACAGTCAAAGGAGCTGGACAGAACTTTACAGATGGCCTGGGCATGTTCCTGTAGGACACAGAATGACAGAGTCACATTAGCAGTCCATAGTAGGCAGCCAAAAATGGATTTTTGCTGGTTTTTTAAACTGCTTACTTAAAATGAACCCAATCAACACAATTTTTGACTTTTTTAAAGGGGGGTTATAGGTTCAAGCCACTTAAATTTGCAAAAACAGTTTATTCTATTTGTGCTGAGAGAACGTTGAATGTTGAACCCAACATTAGCACAAAAGTTAAGAATTAATTAACATTGATACACTTAATCTACAACAGATTGTGTACACTACCAATGGTGTAAACACTTGCATGTCATTTGTGTAGTTAACAAACTACCCCGTAACCAAAGGTTAATCCTATCCCTGTATTTAACCTTAATCCTGCAACAATAGTGTTATGCAGTACAATATGAACATGTATCTAATAACAAACACTATGTTCTTGTGTCCACAGATGTGTGTGTTGTTAGATACATAGCTATTGTCATTGTAAAACAAGATATGCATTGAGAAAGCCTGAGATATCTCACCGCACTGCTGCACTGATACACCCAGATGCTGCACTCCTGCTGCTTGGTATCGGTGGTCTTCAGTGCCAGCAGGTTTTTTCCAGCACCCAGACCATCATCATAGCAGAGCATACGGACAATCAGGTAGAGCGGGTGACGGTGGAGCACATCCTGAGAAAAGAGACCACCAACAACAATGCATTTATATTTCAATCCTGCTTTTCACGGTGCTCACCTTTAATTTGGTATTATTCAAGTCAAGTCCAGCTTTTCATTCTGCTACATGCGTGGACAAAGTGGAAAAAATCCCATGCTACATTATAAAATACAGGCATATCAATAAGCTCTGAGGTTAACAGTTTTGCTATCAGTACTGGAGAATTATTTTAGAATAAACAATACTTAGCCTACAGTAGCATGATTTAACTGACCAACCTTTTCTAATTTGTCATATTTAATATTCATCTGCACAGTCAGCAATCTCACATGAGAAATGCTCATGTTTCAGGCGCACACCTCAATTATAAAAGCCTTCACAGTTCTCGGCTGTGCGCGCGCACTAAGCTGGCGACACCGGCACACACACCTCAAAAGCTTGCGAAGTGAACCAAATGGGTTTTATTTACCGAGGGAACAGCTACAATGCCTGTTGTGACCAGTTTTTTTCTTGTACAAGCGGAAACGCAAGCAATCTTTCTAAAGTGCATTAACTGCAATGAACAGTTTTTGACTGCCTAGCTACTAACGGTAACGTTACAACATCCACATCGTTATGCCAGCAGTCAATCACCTCATTTAGAATAATATTAAAATTTAAATAAACACATTCGGTTACAAGGAAAACAGTATTTTTTTTCTGCAGTAGCCTAAATAAATCTTAAACATTAAAATACTTTTACATCAGCTGCGTTTACAAATACAGCCTATGAACAGCCTAATAATAAACTATGCTTAATAAGAAATTATGAAAAAAAAACTCCCAAAACACCATTTACGTGAAGGCCTAAAAAATCTGAAACAAAAACTCATTTAACTGCATTTTGCAACTCAAAAAGGGTATTTTCAACTGCAGTGAGCACAATAAACCAAGAAAGGTCCCGACTTCTGCCAGAAAAGTCAAACATGTTGATTTTTGAGTTTTTAACCATTGTACATTCTTTACAGGAAAAAAAAATATTTATTTGTTTTACAATTATTGGTTTTGTTTTATTTTACATTAAAATGGGAATAATAAAATAAAGTTGTTAATTCTATTCAATTAGTTTTTTTCATAAAACATAAATAAATAAATAAATAAATAAATAAACACTACGAAAAGTACCGATAAAAACCATTAAAGTACTAAACCGATAAGTGGTATGGATAAAAGTAGTAATACTAAAAAACCTCAACGACACCCATTCCCAAACAGGACAGCAGTGCTACATAAATAAGCAATCATACACATAAACAACACTGACTGTAAGAGCAATTTTAAAGCAATACACAACTAACACACTGAAGCAGAAATCAAACTCTACAAATAGTTAACTACACACATAACCCAAGAAAGACTATACTTCAGATCTTAAAACAAAAATAAGATTGTGCAATATTTAGTGCAAAAGAGGTATTTAAGGTTGAGAAAGTAGTGCAACAGGATTTTTACTACATGCACAAGTAAACATTTTATAGTGCTTGTGAGATAGAGTTTAAGAAAGTGTCTGCATTTAGAGAAAACAGAGTGTTTCTACAGGTGGTTTGTTAAACCCACTCACCTGTGTGAAGCACACTTCAGAAATGTATTCTAGATATATGTAGTGATTATGGTAATATTATAATTTGATAATTATTATTATTACATTTTACATTCTACATTTTATATATAATTGCAAAAGAATCAGCCATAGCCTAATAGTTAGAAATTTGTGCTTGTGATCCAATGGTTGTAGGTTCGAATTTCAGCATCAACAGGAATTGCAGATTGGGGGTGTGAAAAACTACAACCAGTATACTCCTCCACCCTCAAATACTACAGCTGAGGTGAGTCCCTTGAGCAAAGCACCAATTGCTCCCTGAGCATCCCACTGCTGAGGTTTGTGTGTTCATGTTATGTGTGTGTGATTTGCTTTGAATACAAGTGTTTGCTAAATGTAAAATGTAAATGAATCAAATGTTGATATTATTAAGAATGATTTTGAGACTCACACACTGGTCCAAAGAGGCCACTTTAACTCCATACTTGGAAACTCCCAGAATCATCTCCTCGTCTCCAGGCACAAACGGCAGTTTTCCATCTTGCTTTAGAGTGAATAAAGGAACAAACAAATTTTTAAATGGATTCAGACACAAAGCATGGTATGAAATACTGAATGACATGAAATAACGTCTATAAATGTGCATTTAGTGGGATATTAAGGAGCATTTTCCACTGCATGGTACTGTACATGTGGTACTCTTTTGGGGCCATTCCACTGTTCCTTACCTAACCATTTTTAATACCACATTGGGTGAGGTTGCAATCTGTACCATTAGCAAAACATGATGAATTTACCAGATGTGTACAGGAGAGCTTTTCATATACAGGGTTTTCACAGGCCAAAGATGCAGATGTGGTGTAAATGCAAGATGTAACCATAACAACACCATTAAAAAAGGTACATTTTGGTTTTAAAAGAAGTTCTCGGATGCGTACAAAATAAAAAAAGTCCCACGTTAATGAATGAAACTAAACATACTCACCTGAGCTGCATCAATGTAGTTGATAAGGTCCAGCGGCTCCTGCAGGGTTTTGCTCATGTCAAACTGCAGCTTCTCGATGGCTCCCACATACTTGACTCTGAACTCCGCACTGGCATCAGACACAGCGTTACCTGAGGATTCAGCAATATTAAGATCAACTCTTAAAGCAAGTCAAATGTCAAACAAGGAGTTTAATCAGTTTGCAGTGGGGACTAACCTGAGCTCTTGGTGGAGTCTGTATCAAGGCTGGCGACTGTGCTCGACCTAGACAGGCCTCCCAAACTGGAATCTACCGACTGAATGAAGCAGGATTAGTTAATCAGGACTTTTAAGGGATTAATTTACAGCCAATATATAGCAGATGCGTGGCTCAGATTTAGAACTTAGACATTTTTAACACCATTTATGAAATCTAATCTCACATATACTTGATATAATTGAAATTATTTTTGGATAAGAGTGAAAATAGTAACTACAACCTCAATATTTTAGCCTATAAAACACTTTCTAAAACACTGAGAGCATTTTTTTTCAATGAGTTGGACAAAAATTAAAACCTGTTCACCTATTTCACCCAAAAATGTAAATTCTGTTATTAACCACTCACCAAGTCATTCCAACCCGCAGAGATATATGGGGATTTCACCAATGAAGATACTTTAGATCAGTGGTTCCCAACCTTTTTCTTAGGGGCCCCCCCATGAACATATACAAACATTGGAGCCCCCCCACCATTTAAATACACACGCACACACACCCATATGTACTATATATACAGCGGGGAAAATAAGTATTTGACACATCAGCATTTTTATCAGTAAGGGGATTTCTAAGTGGGCTACTGACACAAAATTCCTACCAGATGTAGCCATCAAGCCAAATATTGAATTCATACAAAGAAATCAGAACATTTAAGTATACAAGTTGAGTCATAATAAATAAAGTGAAATGACACAGGGAATAAGTATTGAACACACTTTACTTAATACTTTGTAGAAAAGCCTTTGTTGGTGATCACAGCTTCTAGACGCCTCTTGTATGGAGAGACCAGTCGTCTGCATTGCTCAGGAGTGATTCTGGCCCATTCTTCCACACAAACGGTCTT